ACACATAATCATGAATCAATGCTTAGCGAATCGTTTCCCGAACCATGATTCATCGAACTTAATTCAATGGATTCTAGTATGATTCATCTCAATGAATCTGTTAAACTTGAATCTATACTTAATTAACGAGCAATTATTTATTGTGACATCGTCACAATGTTAGGCTGCAATTTTTAATCATATTTTTAATTTATTTAATTTAAAATATATGCTCTTCACCTCAAATTAGTAGTGGCTTGCCCCTGTACATCATACTTTTCCTGATAAGAACAGAGTCATGAGGGTCATCTATGTAACTCCGTTCTGGAGAACATATTTGAATTAAAATCACGGTGAGTTCCGGTCTCGTTTGGAGTTTATATACAGTTATTCAGGGCTTTCTACCCTTAAGCTTTCCATATCTTGTCTATACTTTCATCTATCTAATGCTGTTCTTGAGATTAAAGAAGGACAGACGGACGGACGACAGTAGGAATTTATAGATGTACAATTTCCTCAAATTGCAGCCGAAAAAATTTACACAAAGAAAGTGTTTAAATCATTTTCTATTGGTGTTAAATGCTGAAAATAGAATCTTAAATCAAGTTAAAGAGAATGTTGATCAGATAACCGATAAACTCTTAATTCTTCAGTTTCTTTTCTTCTACATTTATTAAACTTATTACTAAAAGCAGCATTTTGTTAAATAAATTAACAGAATTCTGTTTATTTCCTCTAATTTAAATAAAATTGAGTTTAATTTAAACTATAAAATATTTAAAATTATATTTAGACTAAATTAATTCCAGTTATGTCAATAGAAAGAAGAGGGAAAAGGCAATTATAAGCCTATTTTTCAGCACACGAAATATAATTTTAATATTTGTGATAAGAAATTAAAGTAATTTTATTATGTTTTCACGAAAAATTGAATAAATTTTTTATTATTTTTTAGTAAAAATAAATGTCTTTTTTTCTTATGATGTCTAATTCTTGATAAATTAAGCAGAAAAAATTATTTATATGTCTCACTGTTCAAAGATTTGTAAATTATATACCATATTTCACTATCTCATTAGTTTACAGGCATTGTCTACACCTGTCATTAACAGATATAGTCTACTCCTATCTGAAGTATGTTTCCTATGTTATAAATTAATAATATAAAAATGTAAGAGCATTAGAATCAAATAATATCAGAAGGTAAGATAAATTAACATCAAGCTAAAATTTAATATAATTTTTAACGAAACGAGTAACAAAGAAGTAGATTGAATGCAATAAATCAAAGATTTTCCAAGTAATAATCGTATCTACCATCTTTTCTCTAGCAATTTTTCCTTATCTATAAACTAACGTCAGTTACAATTAATTACCTTTAAAGGCTAACTTAAAAACTGCAGCTGATTAGAGACTAACAATACAATTTTTATCTTAAGATATACTGAACTTAAGATATAATTATAGCCTTAAGGTTAACGTCATTTTCTTCTCGTTTAATGTTTATTAAACGACAAATTAAATATAGAATATAAAAATATCACTGATAAAAGGAATATATACATGTATATAGTTCAATAATTAAGTAGGAAAAAAAAAAGGAAGGAAAGACAGTAGATGTTTGATTACTTTTTAATTTTTATTTTAAATTTGTTATTGAAACGTAGTTAAACATGATAATTAGTTTTAAAAAATATCAAATTAATCATTTTTAATCTGTTAAAAAATGGAGGAAAGNTATTGCAGATTATTTAGCTTTTAAAAATTTAAGGAAGAATTATTATTATAAGCAGAATCCGATCGAAACAGGAAGAGGTACTCATTAAGTTATTATTATTTAGTCCATTCGGTTGTCTGCACGATAACTCCAAAACTGCTACATTAACTTAGAAATTCATGCCTCATATTATTCTAGAATCGTGCAAACGTGATTGACTCTTGTAACTGACGTGACAATTGAGATATCTCGGAAAATTGATCGAAGAGATAAGAAAATAACTTACCACAAATGGAAATTTTCTATTAACCTCAGCAATTTTTGTATCGTCGGGAGCATTTATTATGCATAAATTTTAAATTTTAACAGATTTTAAAATAGAAATTTATGGTAAATACTAGAATCAGATAATTTTCCAAGAACATCTGTGATAAAATTGCGATTTTCCGACGAATTTACCTGTAAAATTTATTTGAAAAATTGTAGATTTTGAGCCTGCAATTTAATAAAATTAAGTTATTTTGTTCTATTTTTAAACTGTTTAATTTAAAAATTTATNTGGATTAGAATTCCTGGTAGTGTAACTGGTAACGAATCTGCACGATATGCAGGAGTCGCGGGTTGGAGTTCTGCTGCGGTCTGTTCTTTCCTTTTAAATATTTTAAATTAATTTTATTCATATCTAATGATTAAAGTTAACACGAGATGGCGACTTAACCTCCTACTTCTAGCCAAATTACTTAGTATCTCAATAATTAATTAGCCATATTATAGCCCAATATGAATCCGGCTATATTGTTTAATTATTAACATACATCGGGTTTGGTTTTATATGTAAATTTTATAATTTTATTTTCTATTAAAATGTTTAATTAATAGCTGGAAAATAAAGGGAAAAATTAACATTTAAAACGTATTAACGAGTACTTCGCTAATTAGCTACTCAATAATTACTTATGTAATAAAGAAAATTTAAAAGAGCATTATCAGGATGGCACAGAATTGAAATTGCGCCATGTATAATAATTATTTTTTTTGTGTTGGAAGAAGCTCTGAAAGAAAGTCGTGATCATAAAGTGTTGTAAATATTATCCAATTTGTCTATGTTAATTATAGATGAAGATTCACGAATTTTGCGTTCATACAAAGAGGTGTTGTGAGTTAAATATGTAGCCTATTTTAGGTGACCCAAGAGGTACAACATTGTAATAGTGTAAGATCTAGTTAAAGAGGACGTCTTTTATTTTATCTACAACTATTATTTTATATTTTATTTTATTTATAATAGTCGCAGCTCACAAAAGAATTTTATTCCTCTATTTACAAAAGGATTTCACTCCTCTTAACCGTAGTAAAACAAGAATTTATTCAATATGTCGGTAATTTATAACGTTAAGAAAAACTTAAACTGTAAATTGTAGGACATGACCAATATTATAAAGAATAATATAATAAATAATATAAATTTCATGATTTTAACCCCGTATAAAGGTCGTTACACCTATATCAATTAATCAAGCCGTACTTCTAATAAGTTGCTGTGTCATTTTAGTTGTATGAATTGCTTATAAATTACATTTTTATGTCGTGTTGAATAGCATTCGTTGAGTTTAAACTGGTTATTGTTATCAGACCCTATGGTGGGGGGGGGTCAGCGAAGTTATTTGGTTCGGGTNTATTTTCTTTGAATTACTATTTATATCTTAATTTTTATTTGAAAGAGGCCCGGCCATTTACCTTTTACAAACCCCCAATTTATAAAAATAACAAAACAATGTTAAAAAATTGTATTATACATTTAATATTAAAATTTAATTAAAAAAAGTAAAAGTATTTTCTTAATATACGAAATTTTAATATTTTTGAGCTCCGTACATGAAGGCCTGGCCTTTCTGTGAGAGACCTGAAAATAAGATACTTTATATCTTATGTTATATATTATTGAAGAGAACACACATATATTATTACGTTACTTAAAAGATTTAAGGAATCTTAAAACATTACTTACAGTAGGCCTATCTATTACTTGTAACAGCTAGTTATAAGCAGTCAATTTGCAAGAAAATCGATAAAGAATGTTGATAAATATTATAATTAGACCTAATTTAAAGACCCCTAATTGTGTTTAGCCTTGACCTTTGACTGCCTTCATTTTCACTTAAATGTATAGGGATCATCAATCATCCACATTGATCGATGTCTTCTTGTATGAGTAAGTTATTGATCAGGTTCATATATAACCGGTTGCCTGTCGAAATTCCAGATATCACGAAACCGACTTTATGAATTATGTGATAAATCGAGTGTTTATTTTTATTGTTTTCACCCTTTATTAATAATATAATCAATCATAATTGAAATATAAGCTAATTCTCGGTTACAGTAGCCATTAAATGCATCGAATCCAAATATATTTACGTAATTTATTGTGTTTAAACGCATAAATGGACTTAAAACACATGGAAATTCAACATTAAAAGCTGCGCAGTTGTTTAACGTGGTAGTAAAATAACAAATTTGCACGAAAGAATTACGTTTATTGTTCACTTTGCGAGGTTTCCTAACCTTTAATGGCGGCTATCGTCGAAGTTCTGCCATTATATAAGCATCCGTGGAGAACTAGTGTTTAGTTAAGTACTTAAAAGGTTATAAAGGTGATCATCTTGTATGCAAGATCATCACCGTGCAATAGATGATTAAAAACTTCTCAGCGAAGTTTTGATTTGTGAAGCGGTATGCCAACAACCTCACCCTTCGGAGTCACGACCTTCTATTCACTACCTTTCACCTTTCAACCCCTCAAAACACACCTAAAGAGAAAGAAAGGTTACTGACGAGGCAAGTTATTTTGAGAAATTTCTTGCTTTCCAATAATTGACTATATCAATCAAGCGGGAAATAAATGTAAAATTTTTTAATTTGATATATTATTATGCAAACAAATTTATATTTTCATATGTCAATTATCGGGAATTTATATTTCATTTTCGAGTTTATTTATTTTAACTCGAATATTCTTCACCAGATGGAGATAAATTCGCTAAATAGTTTGCTTCAGCTATCATAAACATCTGTATATAAAACTATGTATAAAAATAATTAATATNATAGAGCTACAAAACTAAATTTAAAAAATAATAAAACTGTAAGCATATATTTTAAAATTGAGAAGCGCTTTATTTACAGATTAAAATTGTTTATACACAAGAGCAAAAGTAAAATAATAATTTGTACATAAAAGCATTAAAATCTATATCCTTCATAATTCGAAAATAGTAATTAATGGCAATACATAATTACAGATTTAATAGTGATGATGACCTTTGAAGAGGAACGAGTGACCATGAGGTTGGTATGCGTGTGAATTCATCTTGACGTGAGCAGGATGTTCATTAGCTGTTCCAGGCTCATTGGTCTTAACTTTAGCTCTGAATCCATGTTTATCAGCTATGTAATCGACTTGACGTTTAATTCCCCAAGCATCTACGTATCCATAGCTGCCTTCAACTTTATGGCCATCGCTGTTTTCTTTTCTCCATTGACTTCCATGATGAGGATCCTTAATTTCGTAGCCGAATGCATAAGGTTGTGGATAGTACTAAAGAGAAGAAGAGTGTTACAATCTTAAGCAAATCCTCCAGTTGTATGCAGCATAGATGCATACTTACGTGATGGATATGATGGCCAATTTCAGCTAATCCAACTGAAATAATCCCGGCTAGAACGAAGAGCTGTAAGAAGTAAGGTTAAGTACTGTACATCATATAAGTTTGGGTATAAGTCTATATTGCCTATGTCCTTACCTTGGAATACATATTTAGGTGTGGTTGTAGGGAACTTCAGCCAGCTAGTAATGATTGTAGGGAGTTGGTCGTTGTTTATATATGGACTATATATATGTGCTCACTAAACCATATCCATCACGGCAAGAAATCATACAAAGTACGTTCGTTTTTTTCTGGGTCATTCAGATTCCGAATATGATGCACAGTACCGTACCTAGTCTTCGATAAAATAGGGCGGAGTTAAATGGAATTATCTTGATGAAAATGGTAAGGTTGCTACCTAAAAAATAACACTAATGAAAAAAAAGCGATTGAAGTCCGCATCAGATTAAAATGGTTGAGCAAGTGTATGATATCGAGCACTCTATTTCGAGAAAGTAATCGATATGCTCCGTTGATTATCTTAATATAGAACAGCATCAAGAAAGGATAACTCTGTAAATATGAGTTCTAATCTGGTGTTAAACATTATATCACTAATGTTGTTAAATTTAGATAGTTATATATAATACAAACCACTATAAAAATAATAATTAGAGCCATAGGAAAGTGCGTTTTGTAACTCTTATCAATATGTGTACCCAATAAACTCTTTTATTATGGAAATCATCAACAATAAAACTATTTAATTTTCATTAAGAACCGTGTTATTCTATTATTCTAGTTTATCCTTTCAATTTTTTTTATCAGTTGAAGTTTTTTTTATTATATATGTATATATATATATATATATATGTTATCTATTTANTAAAACTATGTATAAAAATAATTAATATAAATGTTTATTTTATTAAAAGTCATATATAAATTCGTATATTTTAATAAATAAAAATAATAATGCAGTAAACTCCTGTTTTAAGACGATTTTTCAAGGATCTAATTAATTCGTAAAAGCGATATTTTACAATATAAATAGATATACGAGTATATCAGACCAAAACTATTTAAATTAATTTTTTAAGTATATAATTAATAATATTTTATTAGTAATCATCATTGTAAGGGTCTGTAAGATGTTGACTGTCAAAATTGACACAGCCCATCTATTCCATTTTCCATATAATTATAGTCCTGAAGCACTGTTCAACCTTTCCCAACACAGCAGCAACATCTCCATATTAAAATTAGTTACTCCCTAATCTAGTTACTTCCTTTATCCGTATTCGGAATGCCTTAAAGGAAGTAAAAGAACGTGGTGTCAGATATTTTATTTTGAAAGAAAGCGTGTCAAACTCAATGAACATATGGCAGAGAATAAGACAATATATTAAGAATAATGACAATTTTAAAAGAAATTGAGATATTAAGCAATAAACTAGTGGGTTAATAAATAAGTAAAATAGCAACCTAGAATGGATGTCATAGTTCACACGATAGAAGTACAACACGATTTTGAATTATGAGCGATACTAAAAATGACAAATTTCTGTATAACTTATTGTAAAATTATTTTATAAACTGCTCTTAATTATGTAGAATTTTAAGTTTATTTCATTAATAATATCATTAAGTTACATATGTGCTTAATATTTGTAAAATAATTGAAAATATTGTTAGATAAATAATTGCAAGATATGAACCTAGCGTGAAACCGTGTACCCGTCTTAAAAATAGGAAGCAAGAAGAAAAAGTACATGTAGTTTTACGAAAGGAACCGAACCCAAGATCTCTACGAAGAGTTTAAACTAGGGGTTCTCAGAAGACAATTTCGTGCCCACACTTGCGGTTACAGAAATGACCCGTGGCCGCACCTTTAAAGAAACATAATAAGAATCTCTTTCCATAACGTCAAGATTCCTTCGCGTTTAAGTTTTTATTATTCGAAATGAACCGCAGCTGAAAACTTCCAAAATTGTGAATATTTAGATAAAACTTAGTGAGTGAAAAGTTACAAAATTCGCTTTTGTATTGGTGAATAGATCAAAATGGACTTGATAACCGCACGAGGTTTTCTTGTTGGCTGAATTTCAGAATCTCTGGTTTCGACCTTGCTACGTTATTTTCTTTGAATTACTATTTATATCTTAATTTTTATACTTTTTATATTATTTTTTAATATCCTTTAAAGGCGTCTGAAAGGACAGGATCTCAGGACTTTTCATGATGTGATCGGGATACATATCTGATTTGTACCTTAGTATCTATGTTGGATTAAGCTCTGCCCACAATGGAGTTGGCATAATTTAACTCATAATAATCCTGCAAGAAAAGACACTCTTAACGCTCACAGCAGGAAAAGGATTTAACAATGCTTGCTCATTTTTCATATGACAAATAATTATATAAGTAGAATATTACAGGAAAAAAACAAAAGCTATAAATATCGATTTTAATGGTTTAAAATGTTGTTTAACTTTTCCACATTTAAAACGTCTTCACTTTGAATTATTGAATTTTGTATTGTCACTTGTTACTTTAATTTCTACAATAGAAATTTGAAATATTATTTTAGAACAAATAGTAATTTTTCAAAGAAAATCTTATAAAATATATCACCGAAACTGAAGTTTGAGTTTCATTGAATGAATCTATTCATTGCTAAGCTTGGCTTCACATTCTAAAAGAGGAAACGTTTTTCAAGTGATAAAATTAAATTCAAAAAGTGGAAAAAATAAGATTAATGATGCGAATTTTTACTTTATTTTTTTGACATATTAAGCACTATTTAATTTTGTTTTTCATGATATTTTTTTAATGGTTTGTCATATAAAAAGTGTAAAATATTTTTCAAAACACCTTAATTAAAATAGTTGTATACACATAATAATGGCATAAATCATTCAAAATGAATCTATGTTACAATATCATTGAGAAAGAATTCTTTAATTTTTATTAATTAGGAAAAATTGTACTATTTCTTTTAAAATGTTTTATATTTAAAATATTTAAAATTCTTGTTTTTAATCAAAAATTACTTATCAAGTTTAAATTATTCACTATAGCCAATCAGGAAGCTTTTAACACCACATAAACTAATAAGATTATTCAAACTAAATACTATTTTATATGGATTTATTAATTAGTTTCTAATAAGGATTCAAAATTTTTTGAAATTTAAAATTATTATTGATATTTTCAAAACATACAAAGCATAATCGACTGTTGAAATGTAAGATTTTGAATTAACCAATCAGAGAGCATATAAAATATCTAGCTTTTATTTAAATGTTTTATGCATTTATCACTAGATGGCACTACATTAATAGTGCCTCCATATTTTTTTCCTGTGTTTTTGAATTGATGGAGCATAACGACTTTTCAGATCTTGTTAATGACTTGCCATATGCAAATCTAAATAAAATCTGAATAAAAGTAAAATTTTGCGAATTCGAACGATAAAATGTTTGCTTTCTAATTAAATTCTGTTTATTTTAAGAATTATTTTTGAATTTTTAACGAAGTAATATGAAATATCTTGCTAGATATAAACGGTGTATCGCCCCAAGCCTCTGGCATTTGGTGGCTCGGTTGGTTACTAACACTTTGTCAAAGAAAAATAATTTTAATATCATTTAAATATGTGTACTTTCTTGTATATGTGTGAAAGTGAATTTTATGTATAGTCAAATCTCCCAATAATGGCCACTGATGGAAAGAAAAAATGCCCGCTAGTTAGAGATGAGGTTTGATTGTATATATCTTTAAGAAAATATGAAGTTTAGATGGTTCAACGGTGTTCGCGATATTCTTGCCCTTCCATTGTCCATGTTAATTGTAGTCGAGTGTCAAAATAGTCCAAAGATTATTAGGTAAAATTTATTTAAAATATAATTTAATTTATTACAATAATTTATTGTTTTTTCGAATGCTTGATTTCTTAATCATTTTTATCGAGTACAGTTCATTGTTATTGAAGTACAGTTCATTCATGGGAGCCTAAGAATAAAATATACTAACAGATACAATTAATCAAAATTTTAAAATATTGAACCTATTTTTTCTGGCCCTTCAGTTTAAATAAGAAAGTCACGAGTTTTCATCAGCAAATCCATATGGGTTCATTGATGCCACCATACTATGATTATCAAAGCTTATGGATAAGAATAAACAATGAGCATTTTGCAGAGACATTTTTTTATCCCATTTCTAAGACGATAAAGTATCTATTGTTCGACATTTGATTTGGACTAGTGGCAGTTTTACTGTAGATTTTTCACATTTAGTACAATTGCCACAGAGAATTTTGTATAATAATTAGTGTCACATTATTATAAGACCGGGAAAAGTGGAAAGAAGAATATGAGCAACTGATTGACATCAATATCAACTTCAACTTGTTTTTGTTCGTGACAAAAGTGGTTCTTATACAATATTTAACAGTAAACTTCTTTGGAGAAGGAAAACGATCTACAGAAAAAATAAAACACTTTAAAAACTGCAATAAAATAAATTATAATGAGTTTAGAACAATTGAAATTTAATCGTAAATAAACATTTTAATGTTTTATTGAATATATAAGTATAATCATGAAGTCCTAACTGACAAGCAGCTAAGCAAACCAATAGCGTATAGTAGGAATAGTTATAAACAAAACAAACTATGGTAATGATTCTTGGCTTCTTTAACAGTTAATTAATAATGTTGTATTTATTTCATGAATTTGTTTGTGCATGAATGATTTGATTTATTATCTTGGCCAAACTGATCTAATTTCTGTTACTTGATCTTCCTTGTCTACACGTTTCATTGCTCAAAATAATTAGGATCTTTCGAAATATCAGCTTAGTACTTGCCGCACGTAATTGGTAGTTTTGTTTGATGTAAAACATTAAATCAAACAAGTAATGAAAAAGGAACTTCATTAAAGTTTTTGTAAATCAATTGTTTACAAGAATTTTAATGAAATTTCAGTAGTTTCGTCACAAAGTTCAAGAGGGCATTCTTTAATGGGATGTTGCAAGATGCATCATTAGAGTGGATGCGTCTTCAACTGGTAAAATAATAACAAACCTGGAATAAAAAATTATTTAGAGTTATACGTGAATTATATCAGAACAGATCAATATTTTAAGATTAAAATTGATTTCTCCGTAAAATAAGCTTATTATTATAATATTCCCACACTGTTTTAAGCAGTGTAGCTTAACGTATGGGCACTAAAATGTATAATTAAGGTACTAGCTAACCTTATATAATAATAACAAGGAAGTTTACAAGTGTCATATGTTTTACATAAACGTCATTTAATGTGCTTTTTCTAACCGTATATTTTCAGTTATAAATAAATCACATAGGATTATCAACATATTTATTACATATTCTCGATTGAAAGACAAAATTTTAATAACAAGTACTTTTATGATGTAATTATTATATTTAAACGATTAAAAATACTATTTTGTTCCACATACAACTTTATAATTATCATCCTTATTGTAATATACGATGTCATTAATCTTTAATAAAAGGTTAAAGATTAAGTAGTATGCATGATTAATGAATGTAATATCAGGTTGGAGACGGTTCAAAACATGAATTGCAAAATGAAAATTTAAACTTTGTCTTGTACAAAAGATTACAAGATTGACAAACATTGATTAGATTGTTATCGTTAAGTTTAAGTGAATTTAATTCGTTTTGTATATAAATAAATACTCGTTTTTCCTTTCAACGTAACTTGACAGAGATATAAATGAAGCACAGCATGACATATTTCACCTTTCAAGAATGTATGCTGAATATCAATTGCTGCTATTGAGATAGACAAGATTTTAAATACGTAAACACACAAATGTCTTCTATAGTGAAATACATCGCATCATTTTCTTATTACAATTTATTTTTAACCACTCAAAACGTGTTAATTTATGTAAATATATATATTATACATCTAAAGTAATTTCAATGCAATTCAGTAAAGGTTGAACTTAGGTCTAGGCCTGTGATGACGAACCTGTGATCCACGCAACGATTTCAATGTATCCACATGGAATGTTTAAACATGATATTTTTTGCCTCTTCTCTAAGAGGGCCTGGTGATAAATTATTTACACATTTTGGGGCTCGGTTCTGCCTAAGGCCCGAAATTTCTGCAATTTCTGGCACCGAGAAAAATGAGAAATAAGGCCTTGAATATGCAAAATTTTAATTATTTACATTAAAAAAAGCGTTGAAACCTTTATATCAACCTATTTAAAACTCAAGAATTTTATCAGTTAGACATTCATTTAAAAAATACCGGCAAAAATTGAGGTCAAAGTTTTAGGTGTTGCCTACTCATTGAGCGAATCTTCAAAATTTAAAAATTATCACATTTTACGACGCGGAAGTGTTTATCATTAATCTTTATTAATGGAAATCATTTGAATTTGCTTCATAACCGTAAATTCAACCGGTTTAACTCGATTTTTTTATATTTTTAATCTGATTTTAAAAACAAGTTTATGATCTTTAAAGTAATATGGATGTCCCATATTAAAGAATCATAAAACGTCACGCAAATATCACTTCTATTGAATGATATAACAGTTTATTTAATAAATAAACGTTGATGGGATGCTTGATGAATGACATTATGGGAGTTTACAATAAAAACATACGTCTTCATTTTTTAAAAAGAACATTATTTAAAAGCTATTTACAGTTAATTTATCTTCTTATGATTAATATTTTGCTCTGGTATTTGCAGGTTCGGTATAAATATGAACGTGTGCTGGATGTTGAATAGCAGTTCCTGGTTCGTTACTATTTATCTTCACCCTAAATCCCTTATGATCAGCAACATAATTAACAAATCTTTTAATGCCATTCACATTAATGTAACCATAGCTTCCTATCACAACTCCTTTTTTATTTTTCTCTTCCTTTTTCCAATGTTTGTTTCCGTGTTTATCTACGATGTCATACCCGTATTCGTAGAGATGTATTGGTTTCTTCAAAAATTTAAAATTCAAATATTAAAATTCATTTATTTAAGAAAAAAACTGCTTTAAAATTTAACTTACCTGTGACCATCCGTAAGGCATCCCAAATAGTTTCAAATCCTTAATACGAGTAGATAAAGTATCTATCGCACATAGTATAAATAAGAGAAGAGCAAACTATAGAAAATTACATTTTGATTATTCAAGAATGTATATAAATAAAATATTTATTACTTTAATTTAAAATTAAAAGTGTTTATATAAATATAGAGAGATTTGTATTCATTTATCCAACAGCTAGAGAAATGGATTAAAATTTATCCAACGATTAATGAAATTGATGTCAAATTAAAACCGTTAAAACAGCATTAAAAAATTCAAAATTTTAAATATCATTTTAACGGTTAATAATACAGTTTAACCGTTGAATACATAAACATCATTATTCGACAATTAAACAAATAAATCTTAATGTATATAAGGTTTGTCTGTTTAGTAACAGTATAAATCTTTATCTACATTAATTAATTTATCTAAACAGAAATCAATATTTATTTATCTATACAGAAAATAGAATTAAATTTCACCATTTTAGTAATTACAGCGATAAGAATATATATCATACCTGAGTCCACATATTGAATACACAATTTAGATAAGGACGTCCTTTTATAATGACACACCACAACTTTTTGTAATAAAATGCATTATAAACAATAACTAGAATATAAAATTTTGTTGTTAAATGAGTTTTTTTTATTTATTTTTTACATTTATTTATTTGCCCTAAATTGATATATACATTTGATATTCCATTAAATCGATTTTCTTGTTCGATAAACCAGAGAAATAATGCGTTTTACACTAGATAATAATTATTTAACGCTAGAAAAAACTAGATTATATAATAACACAATTATCCATATATATTTTATAATCTTACATTTTTATCTTTATTTTTTTACATTTAAGGAATTACTTTTCTTTTTTAATTTATATGTTTACGTTACATAATAACTAGAATTCTAGTGAAAAGTGAGTTCATTAGTAATTATTAAATGATGTTAGGTCAAAGTCACTCTCACATGCCAATTAATGACTTCAACTTTTAACAATTTTCCGATAAATTACAGGAAAAATAACACCGCTCAAGTGGAAATTGTCGAAAGTTGAAGGCATTAATTGACATGTGAGAGTGACTTTGACCTAACATTAATATATATTTATACACAGCATATTATATAAAATAATTTTTTATACATATAACTAACACCTTATCCTTGCCGAGAAATAAAATAAAGTTTAAATACAGTTTATGATATTAATTTTTTATATTTAAAAACATAATCTACGTGGTTTAACAATTAATTTTTAAGTGTTTTCCTTATTAAATCGCTTGCAAAATAGAATAAAAATCATTTATATATGTGTAATTTATGAAGAATTTTAAAATATGTGATGAATTTTTCGGCCAAAAATATATTTAAATGTGAATATTGGCATATGTCTCATTTTCATTCCTAATTAATTTACATAGAAGCGTATATAAAGTATATTAATTTAAAAATCTTTAAGGATAAACAATTTTTAATCGTCGTTTGAAGTGCTTTGCTGCTTTAAAAAATAATAAATGCGAATTCTTTCACATAAATGATAATCATCTTGACTTTTTTTTAACACGGAATGAAACAATAATGAAGCTGCGAATAAATTTTGATCACGTCTTGACTCCGTCTTTTCCTTATTAAACGTTACAACTTTGTTAAGATACGGTTACGGTTGATTGATAAATCTCTTAATTACGCATAAAATATATATATATATAATATTATCTCGAATTTATTGATATATAATATAACAAAGGCGTTTCTTACTTAAAATGTTTTACAAGAAAGTTTAGTTACGTCATGGCATTTTTCTTTGTTAAGATAGATTCACCCTAAGTGACCCAGTTTCTCGTCCATTGACATAGGAAGTAAAGAAATTCTGTCTGCAACAACAGTCTGTATTACATTAGACATGTTGGAAAGCCACTTTCACTTGTACAGGAATTCCGAAGAAAAATTTAGGCGACATAATTATAGTTTTACAGCATATTATGCAAGTTGTTTGACTATAAGACAATTAAATTCCTTCCTCCAATACCCCCAGCACGAGTGTACGAATTGAAAACTTATACTTTAACCATCATAATTGAGGATTCTTATTTTAAAAAAATCTTTTATTTAAAGAAGTAGTTTATATGCCAGAACGGTTAAACTACATTAAACACGTTTTACTAGTTAAAAAAGATGAAATTTATAAAAGAAAAAAAATTACACGCATATGTTTAATGGAAGATAATTATCAAGTTTTGAGATTGCGAACCTTCCTCTAATTTTATTTTATTTTTTTATTTTGTTTTTAATAATATGAATGAAAGGACAATACAGAATAATAAAGATTTCCTATTCGAAGTGTGTGTATTGTTTACAAAAGAGATAATAAAACTCTCGAGAGACTTTTGTTGAAAGATGTGTCACTGAACTGACTCTTATATATATATTTTTTATTTTTCTTTGTTATTAATTGAAAGTCACGTTTTAGAATAATGTTTATATATGTTATTATTCTTTGATATTAAATCGTGTTTTATATATTTTATATTTTATAATTGTCATGATGACTATTATAAAATATATAATAGCTTTGTTCTGTGTAATTTTCTTTGTAGATTTTTGACTCTTTATACAGAAAAATTCTTTATAATGTTTTATATTTTAGAAAAAAAATTAGAAAAAATCTTCTTTATCTTTCTGTAAATCTTATCAGTTTCTACGCTATCCTAGTTTCTTTTGTATAAATTTATTAAAATTATTTACTTCAGAGGATCTCGATAGAAAAAAAAACTTGATTTAAAATGTCTTCCTTAAATCTTTCTCTAATCGTAATATGTTTTTTTTTTAAATTAATGATTATTTTATAAAGATTTATGTTAAAAAATGATTATAAATGTCTACAATAGAGCTACAAAACTAAATTTAAAAAATAATAAAACTGTAAGCATATATTTTAAAATTGAGAAGCGCTTTATTTACAGATTAAAATTGTTTATACACAAGAGCAAAAGTAAAATAATAATTTGTACATAAAAGCATTAAAATCTATATCCTTCATAATTCGAAAATAGTAATTAATGGCAATACATAATTACAGATTTAATAGTGATGATGACCTTTGAAGAGGAACGAGTGACCATGAGGTTGGTATGCGTGTGAATTCATCTTGACGTGAGCAGGATGTTCATTAGCTGTTCCAGGCTCATTGGTCTTAACTTTAGCTCTGAATCCATGTTTATCAGCTATGTAATCGACTTGACGTTTAATTCCCCAAGCATCTACGTATCCATAGCTGCCTTCAACTTTATGGCCATCGCTGTTTTCTTTTCTCCATTGACTTCCATGATGAGGATCCTTAATTTCGTAGCCGAATGCATAAGGTTGTGGATAGTACTAAAGAGAAGAAGAGTGTTACAATCTTAAGCAAATCCTCCAGTTGTATGCAGCATAGATGCATACTTACGTGATGGATATGATGGCCAATTTCAGCTAATCCAACTGAAATAATCCCGGCTAGAACGAAGAGCTGTAAGAAGTAAGGTTAAGTACTGTACATCATATAAGTTTGGGTATAAGTCTATATTGCCTATGTCCTTACCTTGGAATACATATTTAGGTGTGGTTGTAGGGAACTTCAGCCAGCTAGTAATGATTGTAGGGAGTTGGTCGTTGTTTATATATGGACTATATATATGTGCTCACTAAACCATATCCATCACGGCAAGAAATCATACAAAGTACGTTCGTTTTTTTCTGGGTCATTCAGATTCCGAATATGATGCACAGTACCGTACCTAGTCTTCGATAAAATAGGGCGGAGTTAAATGGAATTATCTTGATGAAAATGGTAAGGTTGCTACCTAAAAAATAACACTAATGAAAAAAAAGCGATTGAAGTCCGCATCAGATTAAAATGGTTGAGCAAGTGTATGATATCGAGCACTCTATTTCGAGAAAGTAATCGATATGCTCCGTTGATTATCTTAATATAGAACAGCATCAAGAAAGGATAACTCTGTAAATATGAGTTCTAATCTGGTGTTAAACATTATATCACTAATGTTGTTAAATTTAGATAGTTATATATAATACAAACCACTATAAAAATAATAATTAGAGCCATAGGAAAGTGCGTTTTGTAACTCTTATCAATATGTGTACCCAATAAACTCTTTTATTATGGAAATCATCAACAATAAAACTATTTAATTTTCATTAAGAACCGTGTTATTCTATTATTCTAGTTTATCCTTTCAATTTTTTTTATCAGTTGAAGTTTTTTTTATTATATATGTATATATATATATATATATATGTTATTGATTTACGCATTAGTGACTATGGATAAAAAATTGATCTGGTATCAAGTTATAAATCAAGATTTAATTAGATTTTTCCTCGTGAAAAATGAATTAAATTGATGTTTTCAAACCCCTTCCTTTAATGAAATTCTGTTTCCGTTTTTCTGAACGTGTTAAGTTGATTAACCCTTTCACGCTTGATATGTTTCACATGTAGAAATTAACGGAAACATCCTCGTCTTGCTAACGATGGAATAAATATTTGAACGGCTCTATTCATGTCAATGACATAACTATTGAGAGAAAAAAATAGCCCAATTCTATAAAAAATATCATTACTTTTTAGTAAAAATTGTTATTAAACTTTTTCCATCTTCATTAAACTTTTAGAGGTTGATTTTTTTGAAGAGAACAATAAGTCATCTAGAGGAATGATTTTCCTTTCGAGGTCATAGGTTAAGATCAGATATCTCGTAGTATGTAGTATGATATTTCACTAAAGCATGATTCTATAATAATTATATATATGTAAAGAAAAAAATAACCTAAATTATAGATAAATTTGCGGAAAGTTCATCCATCTCGCTATTTCTAGTGACATAGTTCTTTTTATATGGAACATGCCGGAGGCATTAAGATTTCGAATTCTTTGACGAAAAATCAGCAATATACAGCAATAATTGAGTTAATGAGCGAAAATTTGGGAAATTATTCCCGCTGGTAAAATATTATAGTCATTGATTTTGCTGATAATATTTAATGGTTGGATGAAGCCCTTCATGCATCTTTGAATCCCAATAAGAGAAAGCTCGGAATAATTTTTATTTTTTACATCTACTTATGCAAATTTCGACGATTTTCACCCCCGTGGGTCCATACAAAATTATAATGTAGCTTAAAAATATAAAAATTTAGTTTAGTATTCTCGAGTATTTTATCTCAGGAAATTTAATTATACGATTCAAATTCGGTTTATAAATTCTACAATCTGATCCTTTCTTATATTTTTCTTCTGTGGATTATGGATATTTCCATTATTATATCGTTTTAATTGAGTTTATTGCTAGAGGAAGATCTTCAATATTCTGTTCCTTAACCAAATTTTTGACTGCTAAAAGGTATTTTTATCATAAACGTAATCTGTACTGATGCTGCATGAACATGGAGGCTAATTATTATTATCGGATATCATATAACAATTAACCCATATCATAATCATTTGCAACATTCACGCGCTTACAATTTCAATGATAAGATTACAAATTTCAACATGCAAAATACTTTATTTATCAATATTATTATACAATAAATAATTGCTTAATAATTATCCCATGAAGTGCCAAACACCGTACTACATATAGCAGGACTATAATATATTAAACATTAACTGGATTGGAGCGCCAAAAATCTTCGGGAAACAATTTATTTAATTTGATTCGTTGGTTGGAGGATTGCTTGGTGAAGATGGTTCATTAGATGTAACTACTTTAACTAGAGGGTGGGAATATGGGTATACGTTATGAGAGGTACTCGATGGAGTAAGTTGTCTCTGGGGTCTCGGTACTACAGTGTTCCTTACAGGTTGACGACCCTCGAATATTTGTGAGACGTGAGGATGATGAGCATCTGGTATGATCACTTTGGTGACCGAAGGATGCCCATCGAGATGAGTTCCTGGAGCAATAACTTTAGTTACGATAGGATGAGCGTGTGTTGGATACACTAATCTCGTAATTGTGGTTCCCGAGGGAGTGTTCTGCCTCTGAGGTCTAGGAATAACGGGAGGTCTCACTGGTTTTCGAATGGGTTGTTGACCCTCGAAAATTGGAGGAACGGCTGCACTCGCTACCTGTGGTGGGGGTGCTTCTACCAGAAAAGTTACGTCTGCAGGATTTTGATTGGAAGCACTGGGTTCATTGGTTTTTATCCTCGCTCGATATCCGTATTCATCAGCTTCGTACTCTACGTGTCGGTAAACTCCAAAAGGGTCTACGTAACCATAAGTACCTTTTATGGTTCCAGATTCATCACCGGTTTCTTGCCGAGTTACGGTTGTTCCAAATTCGTCTTTTGTTTCGTAGCCAAAATTATACGGTTGGGGTTTTTCGTGCTAAATTACATATATCATTTATATTATAATTTCTATTCATTTATAATAATAATAATAATTAAACATATAACTTACATATGGATCGGCTAGATAGTCTTGCTGCCGTGCAATCCTGTTTTGAGCTACTTCAGCGCTATTTTCTCCATATTCGACAGAAAACGAAGATTTTACCGCTAAGAAAACTAAAATAATCTGAAAATATACAACAAGAATATAAACTTACATCTCTTTTGGCTCGTCGAATGGAAAGAAAGCTTTCAGCATGGGAAAGACTATACTTACTCGATACCACATTGTGATGATTATGTAAAATTGAAGATTATCATGGCTTTTATAGAATTTGTCAGCTAAGGGTGGAGGTGTCATGTTAAAAAAAATTAAACAGGACAATGTGGGAGGAGAATACTATTTATGAGCATCTGGTGACCTGGGCCAGGAGGTAAGAAGAGACAGGGTGTTATTCAGATTTGACTGTGTTAAATATTTATCATTAGCTGTTAAGATTGGCATTGACTACATCAGCATTTACTAGAAGGTTAGCTCTTTATTCTCGTATCTCTTCTTTGACTAAGATATTGCTATCATCATTGTCTTGGAATTTCAGACAATGACATCAGATTAGAATAACATGAGTGAAAAAGGGTGGAAGAATCTTGGATTAGCTTATTTTGAAGCATTGCAACAGGAGTTTTCGGTTCTGAAAGGAGCTTCCAACGATTTAATGGCAAAATAAGGGGTTATAAACAATCGAAACGAATATCAATTTGAATTAATAAATGCAACGAAGCACTTTCGATTCAAGTGAAAACTGATTTAACTTGGAAATTCTGTAATTAGGACTTCAAATGGTAATTTTTAATGGTTTGACCTCATTCTTTACTAATTTTCTTTTAAGTTTCGCCCGCCAGTAAATGACTTTTTCCTTTCTTCTTCTCAAAAAATAGTTGAATGTCTAACATGTTTGAATATTTATTAATAATATAAAGACAAAATTTAAATAATTAAAAATATAATTTTAATTTCAAAAGAATAAAATAGGGGATCAAGGTTATAATAGCAACGACACTTTTGCAAAGTAATTTTCATACTCCATTGGACGAATATAGATGTTCCAATGAACTAAATCAATCGTAACAAATTATAGAATTTTAAACAATGAACTTTTTGTTACGATTAACGTTACAAAAATAGTTATTTTAAAATGTTTCACAAGAGGAATACTCGATTTGTAATTCTATTCAGAGTAAAGCAAGATTTTTAAAGATTATATTGATAAAGTTAATCCTGAAATAAATGTATTGTATATAAAAATAAGTTATATATACAGTATATATATATATATAAAACAGTAAAAATGGCGAAACGGCATTCCCTCCAGAAATAGGAACAAGTGTAACTTCTTATCTATTGCACAACCGAAATTTTTATCAGATTGAATCAACAGTTAACTAATTTTCTTACATGCTGACTTATTATACGAGTGAATTGAATCAAAATTAAATTTTATATTTATATATAAGGTAAAAATGTATATAAAACAAAAGAAATAACTCGTAATTACATATTAAACACGTGCTTTCGTGTTTCCTCGTGTAAGCTTATCTTTATTCTTCAAATAAAAATACTAAAAATTTATTATTTTTAAAATTNATAGAATAAAAATCATTTATATATGTGTAATTTATGAAGAATTTTAAAATATGTGATGAATTTTTCGGCCAAAAATATATTTAAATGTGAATATTGGCATATGTCTCATTTTCATTCCTAATTAATTTACATAGAAGCGTATATAAAGTATATTAATTTAAAAATCTTTAAGGATAAACAATTTTTAATCGTCGTTTGAAGTGCTTTGCTGCTTTAAAAAATAATAAATGCGAATTCTTTCACATAAATGATAATCATCTTGACTTTTTTTTAACACGGAATGAAACAATAATGAAGCTGCGAATAAATTTTGATCACGTCTTGACTCCGTCTTTTCCTTATTAAACGTTACAACTTTGTTAAGATACGGTTACGGTTGATTGATAAATCTCTTAATTACGCATAAAATATATATATATATAATATTATCTCGAATTTATTGATATATAATATAACAAAGGCGTTTCTTACTTAAAATGTTTTACAAGAAAGTTTAGTTACGTCATGGCATTTTTCTTTGTTAAGATAGATTCACCCTAAGTGACCCAGTTTCTCGTCCATTGACATAGGAAGTAAAGAAATTCTGTCTGCAACAACAGTCTGTATTACATTAGACATGTTGGAAAGCCACTTTCACTTGTACAGGAATTCCGAAGAAAAATTTAGGCGACATAATTATAGTTTTACAGCATATTATGCAAGTTGTTTGACTATAAGACAATTAAATTCCTTCCTCCAATACCCCCAGCACGAGTGTACGAATTGAAAACTTATACTTTAACCATCATAATTGAGGATTCTTATTTTAAAAAAATCTTTTATTTAAAGAAGTAGTTTATATGCCAGAACGGTTAAACTACATTAAACACGTTTTACTAGTTAAAAAAGATGAAATTTATAAAAGAAAAAAAATTACACGCATATGTTTAATGGAAGATAATTATCAAGTTTTGAGATTGCGAACCTTCCTCTAATTTTATTTTATTTTTTTATTTTGTTTTTAATAATATGAATGAAAGGACAATACAGAATAATAAAGATTTCCTATTCGAAGTGTGTGTATTGTTTACAAAAGAGATAATAAAACTCTCGAGAGACTTTTGTTGAAAGATGTGTCACTGAACTGACTCTTATATATATATTTTTTATTTTTCTTTGTTATTAATTGAAAGTCACGTTTTAGAATAATGTTTATATATGTTATTATTCTTTGATATTAAATCGTGTTTTATATATTTTATATTTTATAATTGTCATGATGACTATTATAAAATATATAATAGCTTTGTTCTGTGTAATTTTCTTTGTAGATTTTTGACTCTTTATACAGAAAAATTCTTTATAATGTTTTATATTTTAGAAAAAAAATTAGAAAAAATCTTCTTTATCTTTCTGTAAATCTTATCAGTTTCTACGCTATCCTAGTTTCTTTTGTATAAATTTATTAAAATTATTTACTTCAGAGGATCTCGATAGAAAAAAAAACTTGATTTAAAATGTCTTCCTTAAATCTTTCTCTAATCGTAATATGTTTTTTTTTTAAATTAATGATTATTTTATAAAGATTTATGTTAAAAAATGATTATAAATGTCTACAATAGAGCTACAAAACTAAATTTAAAAAATAATAAAACTGTAAGCATATATTTTAAAATTGAGAAGCGCTTTATTTACAGATTAAAATTGTTTATACACAAGAGCAAAAGTAAAATAATAATTTGTACATAAAAGCATTAAAATCTATATCCTTCATAATTCGAAAATAGTAATTAATGGCAATACATAATTACAGATTTAATAGTGATGATGACCTTTGAAGAGGAACGAGTGACCATGAGGTTGGTATGCGTGTGAATTCATCTTGACGTGAGCAGGATGTTCATTAGCTGTTCCAGGCTCATTGGTCTTAACTTTAGCTCTGAATCCATGTTTATCAGCTATGTAATCGACTTGACGTTTAATTCCCCAAGCATCTACGTATCCATAGCTGCCTTCAACTTTATGGCCATCGCTGTTTTCTTTTCTCCATTGACTTCCATGATGAGGATCCTTAATTTCGTAGCCGAATGCATAAGGTTGTGGATAGTACTAAAGAGAAGAAGAGTGTTACAATCTTAAGCAAATCCTCCAGTTGTATGCAGCATAGATGCATACTTACGTGATGGATATGATGGCCAATTTCAGCTAATCCAACTGAAATAATCCCGGCTAGAACGAAGAGCTGTAAGAAGTAAGGTTAAGTACTGTACATCATATAAGTTTGGGTATAAGTCTATATTGCCTATGTCCTTACCTTGGAATACATATTTAGGTGTGGTTGTAGGGAACTTCAGCCAGCTAGTAATGATTGTAGGGAGTTGGTCGTTGTTTATATATGGACTATATATATGTGCTCACTAAACCATATCCATCACGGCAAGAAATCATACAAAGTACGTTCGTTTTTTTCTGGGTCATTCAGATTCCGAATATGATGCACAGTACCGTACCTAGTCTTCGATAAAATAGGGCGGAGTTAAATGGAATTATCTTGATGAAAATGGTAAGGTTGCTACCTAAAAAATAACACTAATGAAAAAAAAGCGATTGAAGTCCGCATCAGATTAAAATGGTTGAGCAAGTGTATGATATCGAGCACTCTATTTCGAGAAAGTAATCGATATGCTCCGTTGATTATCTTAATATAGAACAGCATCAAGAAAGGATAACTCTGTAAATATGAGTTCTAATCTGGTGTTAAACATTATATCACTAATGTTGTTAAATTTAGATAGTTATATATAATACAAACCACTATAAAAATAATAATTAGAGCCATAGGAAAGTGCGTTTTGTAACTCTTATCAATATGTGTACCCAATAAACTCTTTTATTATGGAAATCATCAACAATAAAACTATTTAATTTTCATTAAGAACCGTGTTATTCTATTATTCTAGTTTATCCTTTCAATTTTTTTTATCAGTTGAAGTTTTTTTTATTATATATGTATATATATATATATATATATGTTATCTACTTCACTGATTATATATGAGTGTCTACTATCATAAATACTATGCTAGCATTCAGTCTAGTCCGTAAAAAAACTATTTCTTTTGTCATTGCTAGACAGCAACAGACTGCTGTGTGACCCCATACTGGTATTCAGTATCTGTGATTGACAATTCCTTTTTTTAGGAAGAAAACTTATTCTAAATGATGTGGAACCATCTGCAAAATTTTTGTAAAACAGAAAAACTTTTTTATAATTTTAATGTCAATTATATAATATAAATTAATATTTTACTGAAAATTTTTTAAACCAAATAAACAGTTCATTACTTATAAAAAAACAGCTTTAAAACATTTAATAATAGAATTATTTCGAAATCTTAAAAGACTAAAACCTCAAATAAACCTGTCAGAGTCAGGCTCAGTATCTCGTTTTACATCTACATTAAAATACAGTTTATCACCTACAAAAATTAGCATAATTTATACAATTTATAATAATAAAAATCTATAAAATTACAATAAATAATTATAAAAATATGAACATATCAGGACATTTGTATTAGTTATAAATTAATAATTAAACCATCAGTTACAGAATAAACTTACACACCAATAAACATCAAGAACACACAACACAGAGATAACATTAACAAATCGCATTTAGGGTGCAACTATGCAGATGCAGCAAGAAGAGCAAAGATGCAATAAATATCAAACCCCGTGCGAGAACCAGAAATTCACTCACCCCAGCGAGTGAATTTCTCACTTGTGCACATTTTCCTTTGCGAGAACTATATTGTTCGCAACCTCTCTCTCGCTACTAAATTTGAATCTGAATAGTCGTACCCTTACTTTACATTAAATATAAAAGTGTATATTCTTTATAAACATAGATAAGCATCAATAATAAACAAATAATCAATACAGAAACAAATATGAAAAAAAAAAAATGTATCAAAAATGTAATATTTAATCTTAAAAATTTAAGCATTTAAAAAAAAAAAACTAATTTACAACTTTAAAAATATTTTTTAAAGTTCTAAATTAATTGAATTATATTATAATAAGAAATAAAGAAAAAAATATTATGAATGAAGAATTGAATTTCCTCTATTTTAAATATGATTTAAAATGTAAATGATTTATAATTGAATTTATAATTGTGAAGATATTTGAATAAGTTCTTTTGGCAAGAGACTTGAGACAGTAGATGCTATTGTATTGTTTACATCAAAACAAAGCTGATTACAGTGTTAATGTTTACAAAGTTTATAGGGAAAAATCTACAATCAAGAAACGAAAAATTAACTCTAGAATTAAAAAAATGAGGTCGATTAGACAGAAAAATAATGAATAATTCCACACAAACATATCCAAGTCTGTTACTCAATATTGAATACTAATATATGTTAATTATCTCACCTCTTCGGGAGTAAGTTCACTCATTTCTAAAATATTCTGTAAAAGTATAGACTCAAAATGTTAAATATATTTTATATTTAAGTTATATGTCGCATCGTCAGTTGGAATCAAAAACATCGAAAGCTAGCGAATAGCCCAACTCCTCCATTATCACTAAACTAAATGAGACAGCATTAATGAAGTCTAGCACCGATTATCGACGGAAGAGGTCGCCACCGTGCACTTTATCAACATATGTAAAAAGCAAAATAAAATAAATATTAAAAATTATTGCATTAAATAATTTTAGTTTTTAAAAAAAAAAATAATTTTTGTTTAAATTAAATTAGTATAATTGTTTATATACGATTAATATTGTAAAAAAAAAATGAATTTGGCACGGTGTCAAACGCGCAGCTAAATTAACTACGAGATAGGATTGGTTTATTTTTAGTTACCTAACAATAAAAGTTGAACGATTTTCAAGATGTTGTTGACCGAAGTTATTGCGAATTAGAATATTTATTATATATTAAAACGATAGAGAAAATCGAAATGTAATTACGTCGATTGCATTATAATCAACGCCTGCGTGGTCGAACTTGCGTGGCGGATTTCATTTAACGTTAATTAATTTCGGGAGAATTTCTCCTTTATTAATCCCATTAATATTTAAATAATATGTGACGGATTGATTCTATTATAATTTAGAACAATGTGCAGATTTTTTTCTATTCGGTATATAAATGCGTTATGCAATTAATGCGTCATTCCATTGCAACAATCATTGCAGCTGGCGAAAATGTGATAATGATATTGAAATTTGATATTTTATCCATCTTATATTTTTTAATTAACATATTAAATAATAATAATAAAAACTCATTAAGGATGTATATCAAAAGAAAAATATTTTCAGAGTTGCGTTATGCACTTAATACTAAAACTACTGATAATCAGGAAATTATGTAAGTGCGATAGGGTCTGGACTAGTACAAATATGAGGGCTATCCTTACCAAATTCTTAAACTTAAGGCCTGATTTATATTAAGCCAAAAGAGCTACTGCTTAGAGCCTCGGACTTTTAATTATATTGCATTTGAATGAAAGTAGAAGGACCTCTTATATATTATAGGGCACGGCTACACAACAAGAATAACTCCAGTCTTGCATTAACATATATACAAATAACGTCAATAAAACAAATGAAAACAGATTTTTCACTATTTTGTACAACTTTCTTGTATAAGTAAGTCGGAGACCATGATCAAATGACTTTACTAGGCCCTCATTGTCTAGATCCCTGATAATATTTCATTTTTAAATTGTAAATATTTTAATTTAATCTAATTTTATTCTCTTCTATGTTTCTAAATAAGAATATTAACATCCGGTTTAGTCCTTGAAAGGAATATGTGAATAAGAAAGTAAGTTATTAATTAAATATCTATGTATCAAATTTTGTTGATGTAATCTGGTTAATACCTTATAATAAATATACAGTTTTCTAGTTAAAAAAATATATATATAAATTAATTATATCCAAAAATGATTTATTTTATGTTTTATTTATGTATTTAAATAATAAAATAGATAGCTATAGAATTGTATCGTGAAAATTATATTACATTTTCAAAATATTGGAAAAATATTAAAAACTATATTGTGATAATATTTATCACAATTTTATTCACCTAAAAAATCATTAAAAAAAATAGCAATTGCATAAATAACAGGTTCCGCAAGTCTGTGGCGCAGATGGGAACCCGGTATAGAATCCAGAAATCTCTTTGCGGGATAACCCTGACTTCTTAGTTGCGTCACTGAAAGATAAATTAAAGCCAAAGGTATGGATATAATCTCTAATCTTAGATCTCACAAGAAATAATAGTGACGGCTGGATTCCGAGGCTATTAAAGCTCAGTCTACCGCTCTGGAAGACCCAGGATCAAATCCGACGAAAACAATCCCAAGGAATTTTTCACAAGCGGTATCCAAGATATGTCGTGTCACGTTTCTCATTACGCGGCCTCCTTCATTGTAAGCTTGGCAAGGAAGAAAGATTACAGTTAAACTATAAATAAATTAATGGACGACCAGGTGGACAAAAAGCCAGCCTCTCGGGGCCAAATGGCCGAGCGGTCAAGGTGGTAGCCGACCGCTGTGGGGACCCGGGTTCGAATCCAGACGGGTCGAAAAATCTTCAGGAATTTTTCAGGGGGTGCTCCTCTGGGTATGTCGGGCTCCTCCTTCACCACCCGGCCGCCCCATTGTGAGCTTGGCCGAACCCATAGTGGGTTTGCTAAAAGAGACCCTCTTAGTGCCCACAGGACGGAAAGAATTAAAAAAGGCCTAGGGAAACCAGGTTCGAATGTAAATCAGCTCAGTAATTTTCAGGGATTGATCCGGATATATCAGGCCCATACTCATTTAATCATCATTAACCGATCATCCTTACCATAAACTTGTCCGAAACCATCTTGAGTATAAGTATAGAGAAGATAAAGATGGAAGGTAGCATGACCGAGCGGTTAAGACGTCAGTCTACCGCTATGAAGATCTGTTGAACAGTATAAAGAACTTTTCATTGTCACTCAGTTCCGATATGTCGTGAACACAACATATCGTAACTGAGCGACCACTCGATATATCCAATTGCCGGCATGACCGAACTTATGATGGGTGTAAAAAAAAGGCTCTCTTAGTGCCCACAAAGTGGAAAGAGCAAAAAGTGGAAAAATAGTAGAGATAGCCAACTGTAGGCCAGAATTTCTTTTTTAAAAATGCCATAAAATCATATTTTCAATATAAGAAACTTAAATCTTTATGCTTTTATTTTTACAATATCAGTAAATAATTGATTGAAAGTAGAGAATGAAGAGAATTTTCTGAACGGAATAATTAAAAAATCTTGTTCGCCGATCTATCATATTATGAAATGATAGCAGAGAAGAGTCCGCAATGTAAATATTTTTAAATTTTAAACTAAAAAAATATATTTTTTGTCATATTGTCAAGGAGTGAAGTAAAGAGTTTTTTCGTGAAATAAGCAGTATTATACTCAAAACATGCTAGATCTTCTGGCAGTAGGCCTATAGTTTTAATACACAAATAATTGATAAATTTTACACATTTGATATTATACAATCATATTAACAAAATTGTTTCCTTATTAGTTCCATATAAATTGTTCCTGTTTTATTATATTTTTAATGATCTTTTTCCTATAGTTATTTCCTTGTCATATTCTGAAATACTCTTGTTTATTATATGTTTTCAATAGGCTTTAAATGATGTCTACATTACTATTATTTTTGAAATTTCTTGTTTTTAAAAATGTTGTTATATTCCTAATTACAATTTTTTTAAATTTTAAAATAAAAACAATTGCGATTTTTAGATTCATGTGCAAATGAAATTTAAAACTAAAACATTTTTTTAATTAATATGTTAAATAATAATATATCAAATTGCGTGTTATATCTTAAATTTATTCAAATAAGACCAAACTATGCATTTGTTTTTTTTCTTTTCATTTTTAACTCTTTTCGCCCTTAGTGCCTCACCCTGTAGACTCTAAGAAGATCTTTTTAAATACCCATTGTGGATTCGGCCAGGCCCCAATGGAATAGCCGAGTGGTGAGGGACAGGGTCTGATATATCTGAGAAAATACCCACGAGAAATTCCCAGAGCTTTTCGACCCTGGATTCGATTACGGGTTTCCAGAGTGGTAGCTGTTTTATCCATCTCGAACATCGCCAGGCATGTTTTTAGCTTTATTTAGCTTTATACAAACTGATTATAGAGATCCTTACAGGATAAAATCCTGTAAAAATCTTCTGAAAATGTTATATGGTTCCAATTTATTTTTACAGACGATAAAGCTCAAACTCAATTTGTCAATGATTTCTTGAAACTTAGGATATTCAGAAAATAGTTTGACAGCTGGTTAGTAACTCAACTGAACATGTAGAGATGACGAACGTATGACAGGCCAAAGTGGCGCGTAGAAGTAAACAGTTCCGAGTCGGAACAGTTCCGCACCGAGGGTCGAGAGTTCCAGTCAGAACTACTAATGCGTTCTTCATTTTGTACTTTTATAAATACGGTTTTTCACGGAACAGTCTGGATTTGTACTTGAACAAAAAATGAAAATGTTCCACGAGATTTTAGAAATAATGAAATTAATTTTGAGTATTTAAAATTTTTAAAGATAATGTTAAAATTGATGTTTTTATTAAAGTTCGTAATTACTGTATTAATAACTAGCAAATACATGCGACATTGCCCGACCAAAAAATAAGAAGGCTAAAAATTAAAATGAAAACCATATTGAAAGTTTAGTTATTTGTTATTGAATAGTAATTTCAAATGAAAAAGCATTAGGCTCGATTCACACTAGAACTGCTGGACCCGGCTTCGACGGATCGAAATGATGGCGGTGCCGGCAATTCAGACTGACAATTGAACAATAAATATTTTTTCATTCTAAAGAAATGTCGAAGAAAATATATCATTTTATGTGAAGAAGCAGTGGCGGATTTTCCATTAGGCCCACTAGCCCGGGCCTAGGGAAGCAGAGGTTTGGAAGCGCAAAAAATCAAAACAATAACAATAAAATATGAAAATAATTCATTATGAATATAAAGGAATTGGTACAAATTAAAAGCTTAAGTGGAGGACAAAATAAGACAAATTGATTGATTAGTAATGGTGGTCTTATTCATTTACGGCTACGTGCCTCATGGGCGATTTGCCAAGGAGGTTACCTCCCGATAGGTCTTTTATGGAAACTGGTTCATATTTAGGNTAGACCGCATAAATTTATTAATAAATAAAAATTTTATCTCGCTTTCGGGAATTGATACCAAAGATATTTTTCCTTCTACATACTGTGGAGACAGGGCGGGATTAAAAAACACGTGATATTAAGCTACAACATATAAGACGTCCTTCGTCCTTCAAATAATAATAAATTTAAAAACTGTGAGGTCTTAAACTAGACGTCTGATTTAGGGAAAAACTTCTGGAATTTTTCAGGAATAGTCTGTCACAGTTGTGTCAGGCCCCACTACTCGACCGCCCCAATATGAACCTGGATGAATCCATATTGGGTATGATTAAAAAGCTCTCTTACTGCCCACAAGGCAGAGAGACTAAAAAGGTCCTATACCTTAATCTTGTATTGTGTGACCCTAAGCTGTAACTTCTTAGTTTATGTGTAAATCTTATATTGATGCAGGGCCTCCACTTACGAGGCTTATATAATATTTTATATAAGTCCGAATCAAGATCCGTTGTTAAACATTTTTGAGGCCCCAGCACAATTTCCTTAGAGGTATCACACAGATATAGATAGAAAACAAACATATCAGTAATAATCAGTGAGATGAAGCAAGTAAGATGACATGGCCCACTGGCGCTAGTAATGCGCGTATCACTCAATATTTAATACAGTATTTTATAAAGCCTAGTATTACCGTTAGTACTGAATTATGAATACTGAACCAAGGATGAATGTTAATAAACACATATTTGTGCACTTATGGCACTTATGAGCGGTGATGTCCAGAGTTTGTATGGAGCCGGGGGTAGAGCGGCCTCCTTTTGTCTCTTAACGGGCATCTTTAGCCATTGTTTTTAATAAATGAAAAAGTATTGCAGAGTGTTTATTTATAAAAAGTAGTCTTAAGCATTTTAATTTCTATTAGTAAAAATAACATAAATTTTATAGGGGGTAGGAACCGCTATGGACTGCTAAGTTTTCTCAGGTCCGGGGAAAATCCCAGCTTTTCCGTTCAACGGCCCTTCTTATGAGGCCTCTAAAAGCGGGAGGCCCTAAGCAAGATTCTAGGTTACTTACGCATAAATCACCACTGTTTATTGAAATATCTTATTATTTTAAAAAGAAAATTATGTGTTAAAAAGTGATTTTAATTATTACGTATCGAATATTAATCGATTCCATAATCGATTCATCCACTAATTTATGTCAATAGATCTCATTTATTTTGTAACAAAACTACATTTTTTCCGTTTAATGTTCTGTTTCTTATGAATAATTATTAACTCAGTAAACAGGATTACGTTTTTACTCTTACCTGAAAAATTATGTCAAATATTATTAAAACAACAGGAAATGACGTTTCTTATAGAACGTATCATAATTCTGCCATCTAGTGAGAATAATCAGTACTAAATTAGTACCGAATTTTTAAAATTTATTATAATTTTATTTACAATTTTAATAATTTGAAAATAAGGAAATTAATTTTATAAAATGACATTTTAATGATATTTTTTATTATAAATGTAACCAATAAAAAAAATCTTGGACTTGGAATAAGACATGATTTCACATTGTCCAAAAATTAGTTTGGCCACTAGAGGGCTTATTCAAAAATATTAACATTTAATAATTGTTTTGTTATAGTTATATTTTAACTACTTTCTAAATCTATCTAGACTATATTTTTTGCTTAAAAATATTAATAAAGGTTCATTTCGATAAAATTTGATAATAATATTCGATTAATTTTTCATCAAATTACTGTATATACAAAAAATGTTTATTTCATGTATAAAAGCCCTCAAGCGGTGATTTCAAGAATTTCGACTTCTAAAATATTTATGATTAAAGTTTACATATAATTTTTAAATTGTATAAACTTTTAATATTAGAAAATTTCATAAAGTTCAAATTTTAATATTAGTATAATAAAAATAACTATATTTTTAATTTAAAAGAATTATACTTGTCTACATTAATACTAGGTCTACATGATAGTAGCTATATTTAAGTACTTACATAAAGTCACGTGAANATGTATAAATTGTTTTAAAAATAATTTATATAAAACATTTGAAATATCAAAGACCTTAAGTTTAAAAGTCTTTATTTATTATAAGGGAATAAATTCTAAATAATTGCCAGAAAGTAATTTAAATAATAATGAAAATTGGCATTACTGCTTCGGTACGACGGAACTTGAACTATTATAAGCATTAATAGAACTATTCATTAGTAACTATATAAAGTTCAGATGATTTTTCGTACATCCACATTCTAGAATTGTTTTAGAGCATTGACGCCAGCCATTTTTTTCCTTAGTTAGAGTTAAAAATAACTCTTAAACAACGTTTTTAAAGAGAAAAATTATCGAAGAATACTTCTATTGTTATCTATGTAACTCCTTTGACCTCTTCTGATGTTTATATACTTAAGTCTTCCGGAATCTTCGGTTATAACAACTATCGAAGTGTTATCTATCAGTTTTGATTTATGTCAAGAAAATTACCATTAAAATAGTTCAATTATGAGGAAAAAATCACGCATAAGTTTCCCTATTTTATACTATGTATCATAAATCATTTTATCTTAAAGTATTTACTATTTTTACAACGTATTATACAACATAGATGTACCAAAAAATTAACAATAAAATGATTTAAAAGTGGCATTTTTAAAAAAAAATTAATATAAGATAAGTAAACAATGACCAAAAAATATACTAATTTTATTTATCGTTGCTTAAAAAGTCATAAAATTAGCCTACATCTTTGATAAACCAACCGTGTTAATCTTCACTTTCATATATAGCTGCAAGGTAAAGCAGTTATAGATAATAAAATATGTCCTTAGCCAAAGTGATACATTATAATGTCTCCCGGCATTTCTTTGATTGTTATTAACCTGAAAAAGAATCTTAAAACTGGGACAATACTTTCTACAAATGACTCTTTATTGAACTACATGACACAATACTTAAATTTATACACAATACAAGAAACAAGGGGAAAAAAAGGCGAGAATCCCGTATGAAAACCTGAATGAAATTTTCTTAGTAATAAGGATCAAGTATGGGTTCCAGTTTCTGTACAGGTGGGTGAACAGGTACAGGTGGTTCGGCGTGAACACCTACGGCAGCCGGATTCTGATTGGCAGTTCCTGGTTCATTAGTTCGTACTTTGGCGCGAAATCCGTGTTCATCAGCAACATAATCCACTTGTCTGTATATTCCGTGTGGATCCGTGTAACCGTAAGTGCCCTTTATACCACCATGGCCATCGCTGCTTTCTTGCCTGTTTTGAGAGCCACCGTATTCATCTTTTGTCTCGTAGCCAAAATCGTACGGTTGAGGAACATGCTAGAAGGAAATGGCTCAAGCTTATAAATTAGTCACTTACAAGATTAAAATTCAATGTTGCCAGCTGTGTTACTTACATAATCTTGTTTTATAGCCTGGTATGGTGAATCATAGTAAACGGGTGCTTTATGATACGGAGGGTAAGCGACGATTACAGAAGCGATGCTGGATAATACTAAAATCTTATGTAGACAGATACTCGGATTAACGATGAACGAAGTGAAGTTTGAATATATATAAGAGAGCAAAGTACTTACCTTCAACATAGTGGGTTAAAGAGATCTGAAGGAAGCGTGGTCAGTCCACTTATATATACTGCATATATATATCTAGCGTAAAATATAATCTGAGAATTGTGACGAACAACAATAAAGAAAATTGTCGCAGTAAAACAATCTGATGGGAATCGCAATTGGGCCATCGCTGTCCAGGGTACATTATCCGGGTGTGTCGATACAACATTCCAACATTGTCCCCGTACGAATACATAGGATATCGATATAACGAAAAACAATTTTCTATGAAGGAAATTGTCTGTTTTCAAAGGAATTTCATTGTTCCTTTAAAATGTTTCTTATTCTTTTTTACTTAAAAGATGTTGATTGCGTCGATTGAGGTTAAGTGAAAATGTTAAAAGGGTTCAAAGAAAAAAAAATACATATATACTGTTACGTATAATTTCTGTTTAGCATTCAGAAAACAGTTAATTTTCCTTCAATATGTATTGAAATAAAGAGTAATTTTATATCGCAAAATAAATAATTAATGTACAGTACGTGTTGCGTTGTAGCTTCACCCAAAAATCTACAGTACTGTTGTAGATTTTTAAACATAAAAGAGTTAGTTTAATAAAATTGTTGCTATTATTTAAATAAAATAAATTTAAATAAATGTATTTTTATAAATAATATAAGTGAGTCTAATAAAGAAAGTAGAACTGATAGAATTCCCACGGTCAGATAAAACGAGTGACCGTATTTACTCAAGACTGAACACATAACCTGTTTGCATTATCCGATTTAGGGCTTGACTTTAAGATAACATTGAAAAATTAGTTCAAAATCGTATATAAGCAGAAGTTTTTCTAGAATTATTCAGATAAAAATCCGATTAAACACTAGCAGCTCTCGTTTTTCGAAAAGTAAGGACTGATGCTCGGCAGGAAAGCTAACTTTTCAAATTTTTTCATTTGTGTTTTATAATTATACGAAGGATAGTGTTTATGATATCGTTTAAAAAACACAAGACTGAATCATATAGATACCACACCTTTATTTACAATGTAAATATTCTGCCATACATACATACATACTGTATATACAACAATTTACTTGACGTACGAACAATTCATAAATGAATTTATAATATTTAATAGTGTCCGGGGCCATATTTCCTTACTGGTGGTGGAAGAGGTTTGGAGTGATATTGATCAGAGAAAACTTCTACAGCGGCTGGGTTCTGGTTGGCAGTGCCTGGCTCGTTGGTTTTAACTTTTGCACGGAAACCCAATTCGTCGGCTATGTAATCGACTTGTCTGTATGTGCCCCAAGGGTCAACGTATCCATAACTTCCAGTTTTTCTACCATGGCCATCACTGCTTTCTTGGCGGTTTTGTTTGCTTCCATCTTCGTCAACGGTTTCGTATCCGAAATCGTATGGTTTTGGCACATACTAAAGGGGTAATGGACATTAAAATTCGTGCTTAATTGTTAAAATTTGATAGAATTAAAACTTACGTAGTCATCCTTGGGGCCATAGGGACGTGGGCCGTAAGGGGCATAAGGACGTGGTCCTAAAACTTTCAGAGGACGAGGTCCGTAAGGAAGTGGACCATAATCGTCATAGACTCTTCTTCCAGGGTGGGCAAGAGCCACAGTTGCAAGAACGAGAACGATCAATACCTGCAGAATATATAAAATTCAATTAGTTTTATACTATAGAAAGTTATTTAATTAATAAGTATCCTTGTACTTTACCTTGGTATACATGATTGTTCGGAGTGAGGTGTCGATTGTGAAATGTGCTCAGGCTTATATACTCTTCAGTAGATCATTGAAGTTATGTTTAAAAAAATATTGATCCCATTTCTCATCAGGTTTTGGGCGAGGTTCGAAAGAGAACGAACGAAAAACTATATTGGAGACCGGATCCACCCTTCTGTGGGTCAGTTGGAGACTTGTTAATAAACACCTCAGGGTTAATGTGCTTTACGGTTATCTGCGACATCCATCTTTCTATTACACTTTCACTATTAAAAAAAAAAAACTTTATATAAATATATTATACAATTTTCTACACATGTATCAATATTAATTATATTAAAAATTCAAGTTTACATCTTATAATAGGCGAAATACAGTGTTAAGCTATCAGTATACATTATTACATATAATTTATGCAAATAATTGATTATGAATATTAGTATAACTTCTGTAAATTAAATATTATACAACTTTATAGCATATGCAAAACATATTTATTAAATATGTTCAATTGATTTTACATTAATCTATTTTTATGCATTATAGGTTAACACATTCTATAGACAAATACCCAATTAATTTCTTACTAAGCGTGTAATATTATATTTATTAAAAATATATTATTTAATAATTTAAAGTGTTGCTAGTTCAAGGACAAGCAACACATTAAAAATATGATACATAAAAAATTACTTGTATTACTTATGCAGATATGTCCTACTGAGATAAAAATGGAAAAAATTGTTACAGCTAGATAATGGGTGGAGTATTTTGAAATAATTTTGACAATATACATTTTTCAGAATTTTGATTAATTAGTATTTTAAACAATAATTGAATTGAAAGTAGTGTTTACTGGATAGATGATGCAATATATACAAGTTTTAAACATACTTAAAGTTTATCATATTATAGAAATTTAATTATATTTATATAAATTTAAAGCTTTAAGTTAATAAAATATAATTTAATTAGTTAATGGGCTGTGTTAGTAAGTTTAACGCGATTAATTTTGTTATTATTAATGAATATTGCTTTCAAGGTACTACAGTATCCCACAGCATAGAAATAAATATAGATAGGGCCATCGAGGGGAAATTGGAGAAAACTTAGGTGGTTCCTATCCTTAAAAATTTATTTTTTAAATCATTTTTTAAAATTAAATAAAATTTTTAAAAAAGGAAAAAGAAAATGAACCCTTTAAGGAACAAAAGGGAGTCAAGAGCCTGTATGGGACCTGGGGATACAGATATCTGACGGCTTGAATATAAATGATACATTTTTTTCTTTTGCAAATTTAAAATTGAGGAAATTGCAAGTAGAGGGTGAAAATAATTAGTTTCAGTTGCCACCAACAGAGGACAGAGTTGATGTATAAGGTATTTTTCCATTCTTTCATATAATCCAATTATAAATAAATAAGAAAATCTAGGTCTATAGTTCATAAGTCAAGCTATGTCATAGAAAATTTACTATCAGAAACCATGCCCCCTTGTGTCCAGATGTGGGCGACCCCGTAACTAGACTTATCAACAAAGTTATTATAAAAAATATTATTCATCATATTCAACAATAAGTCAATTTATATGTTTTAAAATGTTCGTACGTGAATTTTTTGGTCATAGAGCTGCTCTGATTATTACTATAATAGTATTTTTTAAGCAATTGTATTCGTTTATTTCTCGTTTTAATAATGAAATTATTGAATAAGTCTATTATATATCCTACATCTTTAGAAAATTACATTGAATATATTAACAAAAGTAGTTTTATGTAGTAATAAAATTAAATAGTTTTATATAAAAATATCAATACTTTAAAATTATAGATTTTATAATGATGGCCAGGACTGTCGAGAGCTTTTATGAGGACCGGGAAAGAGAAGGCTCTGTTATGCCCCTTTTTTTCATTTGTTTTTGTAGTAAGTCACTGTAAATTTATGTAAGTAAAAATTACATAAATTTACAGTGACACACTCCCCTAAGTTTTCTCCAGACGTGGGGAAAAATCCCTAACTTCGCTGTTTCGACGTCCTTGATGACGTCGAACGAACAAAGTTTTGGGGATCCAGGATCGAATTCGAACGTTCGAAAAACTCTAGAAATTCTTTGGGGTGATCTATCCCGGATATGTCGAGCCCGTCCCACCTCATTGTGAGGTTGGCCGAATCCACGATAAGTATGATTAAAAGGCCCTATTACTACCCACAAAGCGGAGTAAAAAATGAAAGAAGTTTCTATATAATTATAAGCTTTATGAAGGAAACGTTTCCCCTTCTCTCTCTCAAGGAATTAGGAATTATAGGTGTTAACCTTAACATTCTGTAAAGCCTGTAGCTGTGAATCTTCAACTTTTTTGTCGTAAAACTCGATTTTTCATTTACATACCTCTCCGTTTTGTCTTATGATAAATTTTATTTATTTATTTAAATCAAAATCAATGTTTCTTGTACATATTTAAAACTGTTTTTCTTTACTTGCTTTATATTTAATGTTTAAAAATGTGTGATAAAGTATTTTAGTTAAAAACGATATCTTAAACCCGTTAAAATTAAATGAAACATTTTTAAGGCCTTCAACTATTGACCTTTTGAGTAAAATATATTTTAGTGTAAGTATAGAATTTAACATTAAAACAATAAAAATATGAAAAATACTTATAAATACTAAAAATAGTAAAACTTATAATAAAAATTTATTTACTTTTTATTACCATGGAAATTAAATAAATTACAATCAAATCTCTGAACAAAGACCAATCTTGGAACATAAAAATTCGGAAATGGCCGTTGCATAGAGGATAATTATTTTTTAAATTCCTGAAAATTGGCCACTGTTTAGAAGTAGCCGTTGTTGGAAGGTAGTCTTTATTGAAGGTTTGACTATTATTTATATGGCATTAATTGATATTAATGAATACAGAATATTTTAGGAAGTTTTATGTTGCACGTTGGCGTTACTTAATTATCTGACACTTTATTTAAAGCACGTGCAAACAGCTTACCCTTTCATGTCCACCCATGCAATTTTAGCTTCTTATGTTAAATATTTTGAATATAAAGCGTTAGAAAAGCAGACAATACCGCACTTTCTCATAAGAAAGCTGTAAAAATAACGTCAAATTGACGTAATAGCGTACATTATTCGGACTTAAACATTTGTTGAAACAAAGCTTTAACTTTCATAAATACAACATAATTAAAAAAATCAATAAATAAATAACTTTAATTTTATATACTGGAATTTTGATATAGTGTCACTCGATATAGTGAATGATTTAATCCTTTGAGAGTTCACTATATTGAGTGCCTACTGAATTTATTAACAGTAATTAGTTTTATTGAAATAATGTACTGTACACTGCATTATCAAACCAATTACTGGATAACATGTATGAAAAAATGTCATTCTGCTGTTAATTTTATTCATATTATCAGTATTCATGTTATCAGCTTGACTTTATCTGTGCCATATAAAAAATCAAGTTGGAAAAATATAACATAATTTCATTTAATTAATTATATTTTTAAATGTGTAATTCACAGAATTTCTTGTTGTATTCAGATTAAATGTGAAAAACATTTATTTAAAATTTAAATTTAGTTTTAAAACTTTAACTATAACACATATTTTGAATTTTTAAATTGTATTCTCTTAATAAAATTACAATTTTTTGAGTTTTTAATGTAATATTTTGTAAAAAGCAAATAATAAAAGTTTATTCTTATTTTTTTCAACGAAGACGAAGGGAAAATACCATAGAATAAAATTAAAATATGATAATGAAGTGGGTATTGAACATGAGATCATAATCAGTAACATGTAGTTCACGTTACTTTTTATTTTTTATGACACAGATTACTTCATCAATGACTTTCAACAATCGCCTTAAATGCTTTCGTTCTAGTAATTAAAACAAGAACTGATTTTTGTTTTTATCAATCCTGCAAACAAGTTTTGAATTTTAAAAAATTCATATTAAATAAATTTTCTATCGCACCGATTAATTGATCCACATCGATAGCTTTCTTTATAAACAATTTATTTTTAACGAAACGTACAATACATACAATAAATAATTTAATAAATAAATACAGTGACAGAATCCACAACCGTATTGAGAAGGAACAAAAATAACGTAAATAATCGAGAAATTTACATTATTTAAGTTCCGTTTGTATCGAAATCAGTTTCAGAAATCATCTTTAGTAGTAATCTTTAACAATGGTTTTGACAACGGGGGGTCCGCGGACTGGAGGTCCGAGAGGTGGGAGAGCTGGTACGACCTTCTTGACGGGTCCAACTGGTCCTGGAACTGGATCGGCATCTACCAAAACATCAGCTGGGTCTTGGTTGGCGGTTCCTGGTTCGTTGGTTCTGACTTTAGCACGGAAACCGAATTCGTCAGCGATGTAGTCGACTTGTCTGAAGATACCGAATGGATCAAAAGTAATTTAAATAATAATGAAAATTGGCATTACTGCTTCGGTACGACGGAACTTGAACTATTATAAGCATTAATAGAACTATTCATTAGTAACTATATAAAGTTCAGATGATTTTTCGTACATCCACATTCTAGAATTGTTTTAGAGCATTGACNTCTTGGTTGGCGGTTCCTGGTTCGTTGGTTCTGACTTTAGCACGGAAACCGAATTCGTCAGCGATGTAGTCGACTTGTCTGAAGATACCGAATGGATCAGTGTATCCGTAAGATCCCTTGACTCCTACACCATCACTGCTTTCCTGTCGGTTTTGGGTGGCGCCAAATTCGTCCTTGGTTTCGTATCCGAAATCGTACGGTCTGGGCGCATACTAAAACAAAAAATATCACTCAGTATGCAATACACGCTGGTAAGCAATGATGCAAATGGCTCATAAGGAAAGGGAGGAGGAGAGATGAATAACAAGGTAGCTTCTAAAACCACCTTGTCTATTTACGCAGCCATAAAATTGCTTATAGATCCATCTTCCTTATGTTATTGCCTGTAAGGCACATAACGAATCATAAGGTCATATAAATTACTTACACGGAAAGCTTTCTCTGGTCCGTAATATCCTCTGTCGTAAAATGGTGGTGGTGGTCCGGCCAAAGCCAAAGCAACACAAAGGCATACGAAAGTTATCTGAAAGAACATTTTTATAAACAATTATTAAATAGTAATACATAGCTTGATTTTATAATGCTTAGATTGCTTACCTTAGCAAACATTGTTAGTTGATGGATGAAGTGAGAATGTGATGTCGATATGGAAGAATTGTCCAGTTTATATAGTAAATCCGACAGCGATCTTTTAAAATTCAATCCATGTGAGAAAAGAATTGACAATTCACAAGACGGTAACGCCCATAACTGGTTGAAAAATCCAGATCGAATTAGTGAGGTCGTCGTAGAACCCCCGTCTTAATCTTCCCTCAGGGGACAAGGACATATGGCCAACGCATGTATTCACAAAAAATCCTCATATTGTAATTTGGTTAGATCTCAAAATTGATTTCGATACAATAGGCACAAAAGGGATTAAAACCTGACAGAAGCTGAGCTTATCTAGTTTGATTAGTTACCATTAGAAAAACATGAGAAATTTCAATGTTAACTCGTTATCTTACAATCTGCAAGTGCTACTTTCGATGCAAATTATAAAGAATTTTTCTAAAATTTTATTAATTAATAAAAAAAATATTTTCACTCACAAAATCAAGTATTCACACTCCATACAACGCCTACGTTATCAACCTATATATTTCACGTTTTTTTATGATTAAAAAGTTATGTAAATGGAGAAATATTTAGAAAAATGAAAAATATTTTCTTAATTGTTGATTAGATGAGAAATAACTCAAGAGTTATCCAAAAAACGAGATAAAATAAAACAAAATGCTTTTCCTTCAAATCTAATAGACGCATTAAGAGATACTATAGTAAAAGATAATGACGAAAGTAGTAGCAATTTTGGTTATCTCAATCTGTAGAAACTTATCTCCGAGTTCAAAAACCCACTTTAAAATTTTAATTTGCAGGCCTGAAAAAGAAAAATAATCGCTCCACCATTAATCTAATCGATCATTTTCTTTGAATTTTTAGCAATATTTCTTTCAATATACAGTACATTACATTAAAATTTTATTAGTAATTTAGATTAGTTATAATTTTTTTGTGTATGTATACAGCTTCTATTAATTATATGAATGTAGTAGTATCTCCTGCTGTGCTTTTAATGTGTACCTCTGTCATTTGCATATAAGTTAATTAAGCTGCAGTTTAGGGCCTCGCGTTGTGAGTCCATAACTTAAGGCCTCACTTTTTTACACGTATACATTACAGTTTAAGTTTTCAAGTCAAGTTCGGCTTGAGTTCTGTGCTTCTAACGTTTCTACTGTATTGTAGGCTATTTAATAAAACTGTACGTAGTGATGTACCGTAAAAATTATTAAAACCACAAAAAAGTAATTTTCCTGTATAGAAATTAAATTAAATTTATATTAACATTATTCTTTAATTAAAAATAAATTTAAAATATAAAAACGTTCAAACATTTACAAGAAAGCTATCATTTTTCTTATTTAAAATTAAGATTTAAAACGTGTTTATTAAATTACGAAAACAATTTTCAGTGGAAGTATTCATCAATTTATTTTGAGTACACACGAAATATTTTCCTATTACTTTAGATATAAATAACTGAAATGTTCCGAAACAGGTTATCACCAGTTATAAATATCATACTATCTATTCTCAAACGAAGATGGCGTATGAAATATTTATAAGAAGCTTAATTTATCTATTAGTAGCCTCTTCCTATCTACTCGATACCTTGCATTGATAGTGAATAAAGTTATAGTTTAATATTTAGAGAGGTTTTTTTTTATGAGATTAGGGAAGAAAAAATATATTTAACACCACCCAAATCAAAGGCGTTTACGAACCTTTATGTCGTAAAGTCGATTATACGTGCATTAACAAGATTATTTAACCTATTTTATCGATAAAATTTGAAAAATTTTAATTATCTGATTTACCTACAAAACTGATGAAAGTTAAACTGTGATATTGTTTTTTTTTTTATTTCTATTGTCACATTTATCATCCATTTTAATTTATTACAGAAAATGGATGCCGTAAAAAAGACATCGTGCATATTTTCTGCATGATTTATGACTTGAACCGAGTTAATAAAAAAATATTCATTTATTTACCAATGTTCTTTTAAGAATTTAATTTATTTAACCGCATTTTATCACGATAAAACTTTATATTAAAAATTAATATTGCTAGAAAGATGATATATTATCTTCTATAAAATTTCTCGTTATGAATTTTAGTTTTTGAAAAAATGAAATTATAGTAATTAAAATTTGCATAATTGGTTATTATAATGATGTGCGTTACATAATTAATTTTCGTTTTCAAGAGAAATAAATGGTTAAAATTTGTAGCGTGCATTTGGACGAAATGAAAAATCATATATAAAGAAGATTTAATATGCTTTATTTATAATTAAAATAGAATACACAAACATATATTTATATATATATATAATATAATATATATATACTGTATATATCGTACATAGCGATTATATACCGTATACGAAAATTGATGTTACAATGAAAACGTCGTAAAGCTGTCGCATCTACAGTAAAATACACGAAAAAGTGGCAAAACTAAAGTTGATGACAAACCAAATTAACGACCTGTGCGTTGACAGAATATTCCCCTTACTTCAGAACACCGCAAGCAACTTTTGGAACTTTGTTCTCTTGACTTGATGAAGCGACGTCCTATAAAGTCTTTATCACAATCCGAATTTTTGTTAGTAGCTGGATTTCTTTCCACTTCCTCCTCCGAAGCCACCTTTGTAGCCACCGGCACCACCACCTCCGAATCCTCCACCGCCGTATCCACCTTGACCTCCGGCACCACCGCCACCGAATCCTCCTCCTCCGTAGCCACCACCTCCACGTCCTCCGGCTCCTCCACCACCGTAACCGCCTGCTCCACCTCCACGTCCTCCGGCTCCACCGCCACCGTAACCTCCAGCTCCACCACCTCCGTAGCCACCAGCTCCGGATCCTGCTCCTCCATATCCGCCTGCTCCTCCACCTGAATATTTATCTTGGATTCCTGCTGGAGGTGGCTCGACAATAAATGTAGCATCTGCTGGGCTTTTATCTCCCACTCCTGGTTCGTTAGTTTTCACTGTTGCCGTAAAACCATTAGCATCTGCACGGTATTCAACATGCCTGTAGACACCATTTGCATCAGTGTAGCCATATGATCCTTTAACGGCTCCGGATTCATCGCCTTGTTCTTGACGGTAATGAGTATTTCCAAATTCATCTTTAACGTCGTAACCGAACTGGTAAGGTTGGGGTGGAAACTGAAATTAAAAATATTTAAGATTCTAAAGGATACTAAAGAAATCGTCACTTATATGATTGCGAAAATAATAAACTTACATCGTCACCTCCGCCTCTTCCTCCTCCATATCCTCCAGCACCACCACCTCCGTATCCTCCAGCACCACCACCTCCGAATCCTCCAGCTCCTCCGCCTCCGTATCCTCCGGCACCACCGCCTCTACCACCTCCTCCGTATCCTCCAGCTCCACCGCCGCCGCCACCTCTTCCTCCTCCACCGTAACCTCCTTGTCCGCCACCGAATCCAGTGGCTTGTCCGCCACCACTGTAACCTCCCTGGCCACCAAAGCTTCCTCTTCCTCCACCACCATATCCTCCGGCACCACCTCCTCCGCCTCCGCCTCTTTTACCACCTCCAGAATAGCCACCTGGGCCACCACCACCACCAAAGCCTCCACCTCCTCTACCGCCTCCGTATCCCCCTCCTCCATAACCGCCGTGGCCACCACTGTGTCCTCCTCCTCCGTAACCGCCTTTTCCCCCTCCGTATCCCCCTCGCCTCCGTATCCCCCTCCTCCACCGGGTCCACCTGCATCGATCCAAGTAGGGAGGACGAGGAGAACGATAACAGCGAATACCTGAAAAATATTTAAAAAAAAATAAAACTAAAGATTGTTATTATGAACAAAACTATTCCAAAAACAAAATTTCGAAGTAAGAAACACCCGTGGAAAAATTTTTAAAACTCGAAGAATATTTTTCATAGACTGAATATATTTTGCAACTGGAGCATTTACTTACCTTTAACATTTTCTACAGTAAGGTTTGAAACGAGTGATGTGTCCGAAGTGATCGGACCCACTATATATACCAGAGGTGGCCAGTAAGAGGCCAGATCTCTCCAATGGTGTCATCTTTTCACTTTAGCCTGCAGCGTGGCGAACCTGGTGTCCTGAGGAAATCGTGCCAACAGGGGGGTTTCAATCAGGGAGGATGAGCCGTGACGTCAGCAGCACGTTCACTTTAGGCCACCGGTATCAACCTCAAGGATAGGATGATAATTTTTTCCTTCCTGAACTAAAACTAGGTCTTAGAAATGGAAAAAAGGATGCACTTTCTTCTGATAGGCTGGACGTTCCTGAAGTCTTAGACGGCATCGTGATGAAGTATTCGTGACGACATTAACCGTGACAAATCGTAATTCGTTTTTCTCTGATATCACGCTATAAGAATTGAATATTAGGACCACATTTTTTTCCAATTCATCGTTTACAGCGGCGATTGTGAAATTTTGAAAAAATTATAACGCTTCAGGGTATAGAGGCGATCTCTCATTGAAAACGATTATTGTTGATATTACTAACTGACGATATGACCCGTTTTGCACTACAAATTGCAAAACGTTTTATTTATTGAAAAACAAAAACAAAATAAAAGAAAAATACTCGAAACCAGTTATAACAAAATTCGCTTTTACATCTCTTCCCTTTTTCCTCATCCACTCCAATCATATACAGTTAAGGACATAATTAGATCCGGATGCATTTCTCTCTTAAATTACTTAAAGAAGACTAATGTATAAATTGTTTTAAAAATAATTTATATAAAAAATGTTTAAATCTATTTTTAAAAAAGAATTCAAACAAAACTTTGAAATAATTCAAGTCAATTCTTTTGTAGCTCTTGTAAAAGTCAACATGTTTTTATTTTCCTCAACCTTGAGATGTATTTAATTCAAAATATTTTTGATGAATAAATCAAAAATTTAGGACATATATGAATCGATTTTGTTCCTTTCCATTTTCCTTAACCAAAATAGAACAATTAAGGTCAAATTTTTTATTATATTATTGAACAGATAACTCTTAACATCATCGATTACTAATGACTCTATGAACCTTCGTACGGTAACAAAGGATCAAGCAAATGTCCTCTACTGGGTCAGAAAAATGGGCATTCCAGTTACACATTACTGAATCGTAGACAAAGAAAGTGAATCTTTTCTAGTTAAGCGATTAAGTTTATTCGAGATGCAATCTGATTGTCATAAACAACCAACTTCACCATAAGTCGACACATTACTACCATCAAAGGAATCTAGGACGTGTACTGACGGAACTGAAGAAGAAGCACTTACGATTGTCTTCATCTATAATCCCATTTTTTCTACTTGTAATTTATCAATAAACTTATAAATCGTCGTGGCACTGCATTATAAGAAGGGCGTGAGATTTGCATCACCATTTTCTGACCTTGTTGTGCCCTCTCTCCACATAATTACTCTATTAGATATTTATATATAATTTTTAATGAAAATTGCTCTATTTAGATTATTTTTATAACTTTAAAACGATTCTTACACATTATCTTAATGTTTAAAATTATATATAACAAACGCCATAGCTTTATTAAGCACTAGAAATAGGTAATATCTAGTTTTAGACATTCTTGCAGCGCATTTTACAGATAGGAGAGGCTCAGAAAGATACTTTAAAAACGATGTTTAAGGGGAATGACCAATAAATTTATCCAGATCTGTGGATTTAACCTTGAGAATATATCTAAGGCCCCAGTTTTATCTCATCTGTACAAGACAAAAATAGATTTTTTTCATTGTTTTTAAACGAAAGTTTTAATTTTATTCACGTTGTCTTTAGATCTTTCTTAAAGGTCAAGTCGTAGAAATAATTCTATAGAATTTCGATGAGTGGATGCTTGAGTAGTAAAGTTACAAAAGCACAAAAAGGAAGAAAAGTTATGCACTAATGAAAACCCCAAACCACTTCTATAATCAAGTGGTTAAAGACTAAATTTCTAGGAACACCCCGTTTAACCGTCTTGAATTTCTAGTTTGAAAAGAAAATTTTCGTCAATTTGGACTTGACCTGGACCTTTACCTAAAGATTTAAACGTACAGATACCCTTACATTGCACAGACGAAGAAATCGTTTGTATTCTTTAACGTACAGGTCATTGATCTAAGCATCTGGACATTTTCTCGAAGCTAATAGCAGATAATAGCATTGTTCCTGGCTTTTCTATTGTTGTTACAATAACTATACGTGTATCGATCGGATCGAAAAAAGGCATACAACAACTTTCTATCCAGTTGTACACGGTAAAATATCTATATTGGATAGACAACTTCATATATTATTCCTTAAAAAATGCATTTTTGTGTTATGTCAACAAGAACAAGATGAATAGTAAAAGAATTGAGATCATTAAGGATGCTGATGAGAAGAAGAAAGAATGGAGTTTTGTATTATGACACGAATCGTTGACATATTTACAAAATTTTTTAATGATTGACAAATTAGTGAATCTGTTATTTTAAACTGAGCAAACGGGTACAGAATTGTCTCGGGTTTTTTCATTCTGACAACTGAAGAGAAAGATTCTCCTCTATTCTATTGTTCGTTCTGTCATTTTACTGTTTGTCTGCTTTGCTCATCATAATGGACAGATTGAAATATTATATACAATTTTTCTTATCGTAAAAAGTCCCCCTCTTGAAAGCTAAAACCTTTTGTTCCTAGATTGCTATTTTCTATTGTTTCTAACACCCATTTGGGTTCTTTACTATACTTGATCGTGATATTAAGTCTATGATACTTTCTTCTTCGGCATATTAAGCTTTGTTAAAGCTTCTTTTTTTGTTATACATCTTACTTTCTATTCTATATACTTGTAACTCACTCACATACAAATTTAAATTTTCAAAATTTTAAATTTAATTTCGGTTAAACGTATCAATTTCAAATTTCAAATTCTCGATTAACGAATAAATTTCGAAAATTAACGGAACTTTTTTCAATCCAAAATTTTTATTAAATTTTATGACGAAGTAAAGAAAAAGTTTATTTTTTTTCTCGTGCTTTTTATGTAAATATAAATCTTCTAAAAATGTATATTTAAATATATTTAAAAGCTTAAATTCTAACATAATTTTTATTAAAAAAAGTTCTGTTAAATTGAAACCCTGAACTCCGTCTACCTCCGAACAACAGCCATTTCTTATATTCTCGTCAGTGTCCTTTGTCCAGAGGTTTTCACTATATTTAAAAGTTTAATGTTTGTATAATTAAATAAAGCAATGAATTGATGTTAATTTTAACTTATAGAATACTTTTAAAGATTTTTATAAACATATTATATATTTTTTCTTTATTAATTAACTATTTATTTCAAAAAATATGCAAAATAATAAAAATTTAACTATTTTTAATTAAAAATTATGGGAATTTTTAGAAAATTTTGTACAATTTTCTTTATCAAATTTTTTGCATCTTTTTCTGAGTTTTTAAATATAAACCGCACCTTGGAATGATAAAATTTAATAATAAAAAAAGAAATTTTTATTATGTGAATTGAGTCTAAAATGGGTTAAACAGTTAAGAAAAAAAAATAAAAATCATAAAAAAAAAATCGCAAATAAATCATGCGTAGAAAGCGTGTGCAACTTCATTTTCTCAGACATTCACCAAGAAAATAAGGTTAAAAACGCATTTCTTAGCATCATCACATAATTCTTTCGTCTTATTTTGATTAATTTCTCGTTGCAATTTAATAAGAACCGATGACACTTACACAAAGCATGCTAGACAGACAAGCGAGTCACGACAAAATATGGGAGGAACGACAGCACGACTGATAATCTGCCTTGAAATTGTCCCTATCTGACTGACCTGATCTGACAACCTACGAGGTTTTTGTTGAAACTCTCACAGTTTACAATTCAGTACTAAGTGTCAGATGGAACCTTAATTTTCGCTTCATGATACGATTACATCAATTCGACCCATATATGCATATACATATTTGTTTTGTTTGTGAAATTATGGATTGTTTGCATTATTTTCTTCGGAATAAAAAGAGATAAAAATCTATAAAGTTCAGCTCTGTTTACAATTTTTCGTGGAAAATTGATATCGTAAACATAAAAAGAAAATCCCCATGAAAAAAATCCTCGTGGACCGAAACAGATGTCGAGATACTTAAATATAGAAGACGAGTCACCTTTATGGCTCGAGTGGCTCAGAATGGCGACATCAATATTCCAGTAAAGATCCATGGATCATCGACCCTTAGAATCGTAGACTAAACATAGATACCTATCTAGTTGAACAGTGACCTTACAACTCTATGCCCATTAACTTTATTCTTTCCTGACTTGTAATTTACTATTCTATTATCATTTTCTTCCTAATCAAACGATATTTTTTCTTTATTTTCAAATTGGATTAACTTGAAAATTGTCTTAATTTTTTATCGATTTATCTGTCTTAGTATTGTTCACGCTTTCTTTTTATACATTATCACAATAGATTCTTATCAAAAACCTCAATTCTTACGTCACCACATTGATCGAACTCATTAATGACGTCAGAGTTGTAGTAAATTAATTTCCTTTTTATTTTTTAAATTGGAACCACTTTAAGAGATATTTCTTACGAAAATGGAGGAAAAATATATAATTTTTTACTTTAATTTAACATATTTTAATAGTTAAAGTTAATATTTTGGAGGTTTATTACGCCTAATGGAAGAGTGGAAGAGTGTTCAAGGCCTCATAACAATATAAATACTCGATAAACTATAAAGTTTTTAATATTTTTAGAACCTTCGACACATCTGAACTTATTTTACTGAAAATTATAAACATTTTGTATTTTAAAATGAAATTTTTGGGATTTTTAAAACTCTTCTAACTCTATAAGAACTGGCAGATATTAAGCCATTAAACAACAGTAACAATAACAATGACACAATATTTAAGAATAGGGAAAAACTTATAAGAATAGATTCAATAGGAAGAGAATCTCATACAATTTCTAAAGATGGATTCGTTATATCGTGATCGTTGAACATAACCGAAAGTAATATTAAGCTACCGAGCTTCCTGGGATGAGATAAAAGTCATTTTATACGAAAACAGGTTATGAAGGAAATAGACGAAAGTCACCTTATATACAAACATTAGCGTGGGTGACCCTACGATGTCAACTTCACACCTAACACTTTTCTCGATCCGTCATAATCATTAATGGACTTTCTACAGCTACTGAGAGGATTTTCGTGACTTCTTTTCTAACACCGACAGAATGTTTCGTGTTATAGATGAGCGTTTAGTATCGTCAACATCATTACCAACTTCCCTCAGTTACGGTTATTAATTATAAATAGAGCATACACTTTATCCACTTCGTGAAGCTAGTTTCATTGTCTGCTTGTAATTACTATACTAACGAAAAAATTCAGCGAAAAATAAATTTTAATCGCAGTTCTACTTAAATACAATTAAATAATCATTTTAATAAAATAGGTTCACGTCGAAAGTGAATTTCTTTGAAATATTCAGTGTAATCCGAATGTTATCAAAATATTAAAGTCACTTTTTACAATTATTAATCAATATATTATAATAATTATAATCAGTTTAGAATCTTGAACATGTTTAACAATATTTTACTTAGAATTATACAGTATTTCTTATTTTCTCAAGCGAATTTGCGTGAATATCGAAAACAATTCGACAAACTCTTAAAACTAGATATTAAGCCACCAAAACTTTAAATAATATCTCACAAGGTTTCTAAAGAGGGAGAAGATACATAATTACACTACGCAATTTCTAAATTCGGCATTCAACCGTACAAAAAATTATATTATTTTGAAACATTTCATGTTTTCAAGGCGTTAATTCTTTAAAATTTTAAATTTTGATCGCTAGAAAATTATTCAGTCCTTCACATTTCTACGCATACGTATCCTTCGGGCATTTCTTAAGCTTAAAGTAACGTACAAATTTATACAAATATTGTATTATGTACACGTTCAGAACTTCTTTAGACGAATCTTTTGATACACGTCATGTAAAGTATAGAGATGTCAAGAAAATGATTACATCTGGAGGAGTGGCTCAAGGACCAATGTTAAAAGGGCGACTATGGCAAATTGGACGTCCAGAATTGTACAAGAATGAGAAAAAAGAATCTAGAACACCGGTAATCTTTATATGGCAACACAACAATAGATTCCTTTAATTTGATAAGTTGCGAAATCCTTATTTCTGTCCAAAAACTGTACAATGTAGTATCTTGATACCATCTGTTACTGGGCATCTCGTACAAAGTAATGGAGCGATTTAACATGTATCACGTTTCGTACATTTTAACAGTCATGTGATTTATTGTGTTGTCTAGAACAGGTTGAAAAGTTGACATTCAGAGAAGAAGCTTCTGTCTGATTCTCATAAAGTTTTCTTCGATCATACTCCAAGATATTGCAAATTGGATACCTTGAGAACCCCACCAATTTTTCTCCCATTGTAAATGTATGAAAAGAATAAATTTGCATTCAAGTAATGTCGGATATTCCCCAAGAATGACTTCATCTTAAGAGAAAAAAAAATCGTGTTTTATGCACCTAGAGTTGATTCTTCTTCGTGAGAAATTATTAACAATAGTAGAAACCTTATAAATTAGTCATGCGAAAGGAAATCAGGACAGAATACAATTGTCATTGGAATTTTATAAAACGAAAACAAAACCGTATCTGAAGGGAATTTTTATATAAATTCTTTTCTAGCAAGAAAAATAAAGGTGTGAAGAATAAGATACGTGATATACCCGGAACTGGATTATCGAAACGTGTAGGTGATGCCACGTTCACGATTTCCTATCTGGTTCGATCGCTGGATTCTCACGTTTCTCTTCATACTTGCAGATTGAAATGATCCACTTTGAGAGAGAAAGTGTTTTAAAAAAAGGATATAAAATATCCGCAAGGAAAAATCGTGGAAATCCTTCAGGCTAAAGCACCTCCAAAATTACTTTCCTACAAATTATCCAGGACAAACTTTCACCCTTTCTCTTTCTCTCACCAACTAAAAACAGGAAGAGACTGTATGAAACACTTATACCGTCTGAAAGGATCGTTTCAGTTTTATTTAGGGCGGGCGTGTCTTTTAATATTTTAGGCTGCAGATGGTCTTTCACTATTGTCTTATTAAGAAGTGATTATCCAGCTAATTGTAAATTAAAAGAAGAAAAATATTCTATTTTTTCTCTCCATACTTTCGTGTATTCACGGAACAATTTATGTGGATTCACGCAGCAATTTATGGATTATTTTCAAACTTTAACGTCTACCCATCTTAAGGAATCGTGCTTTATCTCTTTTATTACCTAAACTGGTTTGTCAAAAGCCATTTATACTCGATAATGGCAATAACCGCAGAAGGTGGAGAGGCTCTTAAATTTACCGAAATTTCGATCAGAAAATCGCTTTCTACAATTAATAAACACCCCGAGGCGTAGATCCTTATGCTTATTCTTATTTTTTCTACTTTCCTTTGCCATATGGACTGCCCTACTTTACTGATATTTCTCAAGGGCATAAATAGATTATCCCAAATCGGAAGTATCTAGGTCGCATTATCCCAATTTTTAAACTCTTTCCAAAACTGTCTATGATGCCATAAGTCAAACAGACGGACGAAATATTCGTTCGTCTGTTTTCTTGTCTGTCTGTTGACCTTTCGAGATGAAGAGGTCACCGGTACTGACAGATTTAAGTACGTGTTCATTTAGCTCGTATGTGTTTTTCCTTCTTTAAAAATCTGACCTTTGATTTAACTCGTAAAGTACTATTAATGGCATTTTATTAATAAAAATTTAATTAATTTTTATACTATTTTGCTTCTCGCGTGTAATATTTTCCCGCTACTAACTGAAATTCCTCATAC